TCGCACGGCCAGGGTGCACGGCCGTGCGAGCTTCAGGGGTTGCCCATGCGTGTCCTCGGCATAAGGCGCACGGCCATATTGCTCACGTGCACGGCCGTGCAGCCTCCCTGGTCTGCCCGTGCAGCTTGCTCAGCCTCTGTTTAATGCTTCGTTTCTCCCTCGTCCGGACTCCGAATCAATCGCCGTTTGATCCCAGACGCTCGTAGTCTCGTCCTCTTTCGTTTCATAACAAGCTTGCATGATTCTTTGTCCATAAAGTGAGGTAGAAATCCATTCTTCTTCAGGTCATGCCCGAGTTTCTTCTCTCGAATCGTCAATTGATCTCTGATTGACTTGAAACTTGCGCCTATGCTTCACTTTATGTGCTAGGACCTGAAATGGGACAAAGGAACACAACCTAGCATAAAATAGGCCAAAGACGCAATAATTCAAGCTCAAATAATCAAGAAACAAAGGGGAAAACATGTGCAAATACCGAGTCATCAAATCCCCCCACACTTAACTATTTGCTTGTCCCCAAGCAAACCTAACTCAAACCAATGCAACTCTTCAGACCTCTATAGCAACAAACACCCCAGATCGTAGGTAGAGGACTTCCAAGATCATTTAGCAGCTTACGAGGTCAACCGACGCACAAGTCATCTCATAGCTTCTTCGGTGAGTCGGCATCATGGCAAACAGTGAACAGAGGACAAATGAATTGTGGATGAAGAGATTCTCAAAAACAAAAGATCATGGACTCACATTTTTCAAGGTGCTCGATTTTCTTTGAAGATGGTTGGAACCCTTTTTCTTTCTGTTTTGCTTGTTTTCTGTTATTTTTTCCTTTTTTTTCTTTCAAGGGTCCCAACCTGCTCTTACCGGCCATGCCAGGAGCGGATGTCTCGAGCCTCGTGCGGGGGAAAGACATGTAAGGGGGCTGGAGGTAGTAGATGGAAATTGGGAACGGATTCCCGTCTCCCCTTACACACTTTCGCCCTATTCGCACGGGAGACGTTTATTTTGAAGCACATTATCGAGCACCTGTTATTTTCAAAACATGACACAAGAGTCCATGACAGGCAGAGAATCCACAACACCACACAATTCAAGGGTCCTAAGATCACTAATTCACTCAATCAACCAACACAATATGAAGAAGAAATGAGACTCCTTAAATGCATCAACATCCTCCATAGTGCTACACTACCTCCCTAGGTTGCATATCACTATAAAGACTGTCAATTCAAAGCATACTGAGCAGGCAATTGCAAGGAAACACGTACTTGGAGCCCTCAAATTTTAAAAATTTGGACAGTGGACTAGGCTCCAAGCACACAAACAGATCTAATGCAGTCAAAAGATAAACATCCCCCCACACTTAAGCTCGACATTGCCCTCAATGGAGAAGAGGGAAGGATAAGGGGAACGATGTTACCGGTATGCACGGACTGCAGGGGACTGGAAACGGGCCAGTCGGGGCAAGCACAGCCAAAGGGGAACAGAAGAGCTCAAACACAGTATGTTAGGTTCAATGGTCAGCCCAATAAAATATCATCCAAACCAAAAGAAAAACAAACCAAACCCCAAACCGGGTTACAATCCGACTCAAAACAAAAGAAAGAAAGTCAAACCGTGGTGGGGTTGCCTCCCCACAAGCGCTTCTTTACCGTCTTTTAGCTGGACGCCAATTGCAGATACTCAGGGCGGTGCAGGAACAGGTGCCTCCAAGAGCGGATCCACGTCGCTCTTGAGGTACAGCTTCAGGTTGTGGCCATGCACCCGACGGATGCGACCACCATCATCAGTCAGCTCGACCTGCCCATCTGGCAAGATGCAGGTGAGCGAGTACCCGGACGGCCAGGGTGGTCGTGGTGCAGGAGGTGGGACCAGCTCGTAGTGGTCTCCACTCTTCTTCCGCACAGGCTTAGCAACCTGCTGCTTCGGCCGCCACTCCTCCTTGAGCTTTTTGTTCGGAGGCGAGGCTGGATGGAGTGGCGGCGAAGGAATGATAGGAGGGTCCTGCAAAATGAGAGGTGCAGAAGGATACACGACAGGCTCGTGTACCTGGTCAGACATAGCATGCACAGGCGTGACAGCAATCATAGCACAGTGATCAAACTCAGTCACAGAAAAAGTAGCCTGTTCATTCCCAGCACGCAAGATCAACTTACCATCATGCACATCAATTAGTGCCTTGGCGGTGGCAAGAAATGGCCTACCTAGAATCAAAGGCACATCCACATCCTCATGCACATCAAGAATAATAAAATCAACAGGATATGTGAATGTACCTGCTTTAACAAGCAGATCCTCAATGATACCCTTAGGATGCACGATAGAACGATCAGCTAATTGAATGCTCATCCTAGTAGGGCTAAGTTCACCTAGGTCTAGCATTTTATACAACTTATATGGCATGACGTTAATGCTAGCGCCTAGGTCCGCCAAGGACTTTCCTACATGCATACTGCCAATAGTAAGAGGGATAGTAAAACTCCCTGGATCCTTGCGCTTCTCGGGCAGCTTGTTCTGCAGGATAGCAGAACACTCCTCACTGAGCATCACTGTCGAGAGATCCCCAAGTTTCTTCTTGTTGGTGCAGATATCTTTCATGAACTTGGCATACTTGGGCATCTTCGACAGTGCCTCCATGAACGGTATGCTGATGTTGAGCTGCTTCAACATTGCCATGAACTTGGCAAACTCAGTCTCCAGCTTGTCCTTGTGTAGGCGAGTGGGGAAGGGAAGCTGGGGTACATGCTCCTTAACCACTGGTTGTGGCTTGGGAGCAGGGGCTTCCTCCTCCACCCGCACTTCTGCATCGTCGGCTGGAAGTGCCGAAGCAGGTAGTGGTTCCTCCTGTCTGGCCGGGGCAGGATCAGCAGATATCACCTTATCGCTCCTGGTAAAAATGGCATCCAGCTGCTGATGCTGGTGAGGATCTCGAGGATTAGGAACAGTGGTGGCAGGCAGAGTCCCCGGTGCCCTGGTGGTGCTCTGGCGAGCCAAGATGCCCACCTGGGTCTGCAGATCCTGCAAAATGGCACCCTGGTTCCGCTGACCTGCCTTCAGTGATGTGATAGCAGCCTGGGTGCTAGTCATGAATGAAGCTAGAATGTTTTCCAGCTTCGTCATCCTGTCATCTGGGGCCAGAGCTGCTGCTGGCTCGGCAAACTGGCGCTGGGGCTGCTGGAATGGCTGGCCCTGCCTAGGCTGGTAGGGCTGCTGCTGTGGGTCTGGCCCCTGGAGAGCCTGGAAGGGCTGCCTCTGCTGAAAACCACCTGCTGGTGCTGGGAAACCAGGTGGTTTAGTGGTGTTGCTGCTCCAGGCAAAGTTGGGATGCTGGCGCCACCCCTCATTATATGTGCTACTGTATGGATCGAGGCGCCTCGCATTGGCGATGAAGGCCAACTGCTCCTGGGGTGTGGTAGACTCCCTCATAGCCTGGCAGTCCTCCACTAGGTGACTGGAGCTCTCACACCACTGACACTGAGCAACTGGAGGTGTAGCCAAACCTCTGCTCGGAATCAGACTGTTGGGCTGCTTCAATGTCTGCACTAGCTCAGCTACCTGCTGCTCGAGCCCATATCTAGTCTCCATGGCGTGCACACCACGGTCCCGGGACTGTCTGCCTCGGCTACCCTGTCCCCAAGAATGATCTCTGGCAGCCAAAGTACTGATCATCTGGTTCAGCTCGGGTGGAGTCTTGGTAAGAATATCCCCTCCTGGGCATAAAGACTCAATCACCCTCTGGCTATCTGGGGAGAGAGCGTTGTAGAAGTTCCCCACAGTGAAAGCATCACTAAAGCCATGGTGGGGGCACTGCCAGAAGTAGCCCATGTACCGCTCCCAAGCATCACGGAGTGACTCATCTGGCTCCTGGCGGAAGTGAGTGATCTCCCGCTGAATCTCTGTAGTCTTCGATGCCGGATAGTACCTGTGCACGAACTTGTCCGCCAGATCGTCCCAAGAGGTGATGGACAATGGGGGCTGGGTCTCCAACCACCTCTTAGCATTCCCCACCAGAGAATGGGGGAAGAGATGAAGGCGGATCGCATCATCGGGGACACCATTCAGCTTGAACCCGTTCGTCAGCTGCAGAAAACGGGAAAGATGCACCCTGGCCTCCTCATTCTTCAAGCCATGGAACTGGATCGAGGATGTGATGAGCTGAATCCAGCATGGCTTGATCTCAAAGTTGTTTGCTGGGATCGGCGGGTAGAGGATAACCGGGCGGATGTCAGCAATCCGCGGAGTGTAGTATTACTCCAGGGTGGGACCCGGCTGCGGTGGATGATGAGCTCCATGATCCTGGGGTATGGGATTGTTCCCCAGGACCTGATTCACCGGGGGAACCTGCTGTGGATTCCCCTGGTGTTGGTTGTAGTCTCCGTCCATCCCGGGCTCTTCTTCAGAATCGCTGCTCAGGTGGCCGTCTATGCGCTCTTCCGTAGCCAGTCTAGCTCGCTGTTGTCTCCTGAGCTGGCGACAGGTGCGGTCAATCTCTGGATTCAACGGCAGTAAACCTCCCGACTGGCTACGGGTCATGCACTACCTGCACACACTCAAGCAACAAACCCGTGAAGGCACAAGTGGGACAAAGAAAACAAAGCAAAAAGAAAAGCTAAATTAACAGAAATCACTTTTCTTCAACAACCTAGCCGTCCCCGGCAACGGCGCCAAAAACTTGACTCGACTCTACTGTCACTCCAGGAATTGGCCAAGTGTAACCACTTCCTAAAGCGTAGTATAGCGGGTTTAGGTTTAATTATCAACCCGGGTCCTAGATTTGCTGACTACTCAGTGAGTTCTTGTTATCTAGCAATAAAACTGGAGTGCAAGTCTAATCTACCAAACAAACAAAGCAAGTAAACGGTTGTATTCAGGTTAAAGAGGTCACCCGGATATGGTTCCCCCTAGACTGCAGTTAAGCCGGATTGTAATTACCAAGTTCAGTTTCTATGACAGTTATACTGCGGAAGGTTCTTAAACAGCCTGAAGTCTCGACTAAAGGTCTTCAGACCCTCTCAATCTGACTCTCTAGCGGGCGACTAACCTCCACCGGAGTCGACAGATTGAGGCCCTAAGAACAAAACCTCCACTACCGGAGTAAATCCGGTACAGAATAGTGAGTTGGCTCCTCGACTAAAGTCACCAACTCCCTACCTTCAATCAAGGATACTCTATTAACCTAGGCAGGTATTCTCATTCTAGGTTAAAGCAGAAACAACAGGAATTTGATCAGGATTCAAGTCATTCAATCATTAAAACCTCAATCGAATATAATCAATCACAGAATCAGTACTTGGGTTCATACAATCAAAGCCTAACATACAAATCTAGGGTTCTCCATACCCAGATGAATGGGAGAACTACTCCATAGAGAAGAAAGCAAAAGCAGAATCAGACACGGAATTCATACTGCAAAGGATGGATTCCTGCTTCTGGACGTTGATTGGCACTCCTCCAAGCTCAAGCTGGCCTCCAATGGTGTTGAAGATCAATCTAGGGCACTTGGAGACTCTTGTTCGTCACTTTCTCTCTCTAGGAACTGATCTCTCTCTCAAAAACTCGAATCCCCCCGACTTTGGTTCGGAATTTGGCTTAAAACCAGGAAATCCTGACTCGCACGGCCAGGGTGCACGGCCGTGCATATCACCATTCTGGCCGTGCAACTCAAAACGCAGCGTGTCATTTAGTCGAACTTCAGCCCTCTCGCACGGCCAGGGTGCACGGCCGTGCGAGCTTCAGGGGTTGCCCATGCGTGTCCTCGGCATAAGGCGCACGGCCATATTGCTCACGTGCACGGCCGTGCAGCCTCCCTGGTCTGCTCGTGCAGCTTGCTCAGCCTCTGTTTAATGCTTCGTTTCTCCCTCGTCCGGACTCCGAATCAATCGCCGTTTGATCCCAGACGCTCGTAGTCTCGTCCTCTTTCGTTTCATAACAAGCTTGCATGATTCTTTGTCCATAAAGTGAGGTAGAAATCCATTCTTCTTCAGGTCATGCCCGAGTTTCTTCTCTCGAATCGTCAATTGATCTCTGATTGACTTGAAACTTGCGCCTATGCTTCACTTTATGTGCTAGGACCTGAAATGGGACAAAGGAACACAACCTAGCATAAAATAGGCCAAAGACGCAATAATTCAAGCTCAAACAATCAAGAAACAAAGGGGAAAACATGTGCAAATACCGAGTCATCACGTGTTCAAGCATTACACGGCCGTGTCCAAAGCGAAGCACGGCCGTGTTTCTCCCCACTGCTGCTAGTGTAATTAACACTAGCCAAAGCACGGGCGGGCTGAGGCATTACACGGCCGTGCCCTCGACCGTGCTTTGGCTGATGCCTTTTTAAGCAGATTTTCAGCCAAACAGAAGGGGATTCGAGTTTTTGAGAGAAAGAACGACTTCTAGAGAGAGAAAGTGACGAGCAAGAGTTCCCAAGTGCCCTAGATTGATCTTCAACACCATTGGAGGCCAGCTTGAGCTTGGAGAAGTGCCAATCAACGTCCAGAAGCAGGAATCCATCCTTCGTAGTATGAATTCCGTGTCTGATTCTGCTTTTGCTTTCTTCTCTATGGAGTAGTTCTCCCATTCATCTGGGTATGGAAAACCCTAGATTTGTATGTTAGGCTTTGATTGTATGAACCCAAGTACTGATTCTATGATTTGATTATATTCGATCGAGGTTTGAATGATTGAATGACTTGAATCCTGATCAAATTCCTGTTGTTTCTGCTTTAACCTAGAATGAGAATATCTGCCTAGGTTAATAGAGTATCATTGATTGAAGGTAGGGAGTTGGTGACTTTAGTCGAGGAGCCAACTCACTATTCTGTACCGGATTTACTCCGGTAGTGGAGGTTTTGCTCTTAGGGCCTCAATCTGTCGACTCCGGTGGAGGTTAGTCGCCCGCTAGAGAGTCAGATTGAGAGGGTCTGAAGACCTTTAGTCGAGACTTCAGGCTGTTTAAGAACCTTCCGCAGTATAATCTTCATAGAAACTGAACTTGGTAATTACAATCTGGCTTAACTGCAGTCTAGGGGGAACCATATCCGGGTGACCTCTTTAACCTGAATACAACCAGTTTACTTGCTTTGTTTGTTTGGTAGATTAGACTTGCACTCCAGTTTTATTGCTAGATAACAAGAACTCACTGAGTAGTCAGCAAATCTAGGACCCGGGTTGATAATTAAACCTAAACCCGCTATACTACGCTTTAGGAAGTGGTTACACTTGGCCAATTCCTGGAGTGACAGTAGAGTCGAGTCAAGTTTTTGGCGCCGTTGCCGGGGACGGCTAGGTTGTTGAAGAAAAGTGATTTCTGTTAATTTAGCTTTTCTTTTTGCTTTGTTTGCTTTGTCCCACTTGTGCCTTCACGGGTTTGCTTGCTTGAGTGTGTTCAGGTAGTGCATGACCCGTAGCCAGTCGGGAGGTTTACTGCCGTTGAATCCAGAGATTGACCGCACCTGTCGCCAGCTCAGGAGACAACAGCGAGCTAGACTGGCTACGGAAGAGCGCATAGACGGCCACCTGAGCAGCGATTCTGAAGAAGAGCACGGAATGGATGGAGACTACAATCAGCACCAGGGGAATCCACAGCAGGTTCCCCCAGTGAATCTGGTCCTGGGAAACAACCCCATACCCCAGGATCATGGAGCTCATCATCCACCGCAGCCGGGTCCCACCCTGGAGTACTACTACACTCCGCGGATTGCTGACATCCGCCCGGTCATCCTCTACCCGCCGATCCCAGCAAACAACTTTGAGATCAAGCCATGCTGGATTCAGCTCATTACATCTTCTATCCAGTTCCATGGCTTGAAGAATGAGGAGGCCAGGGTGCATCTTTCCCGTTTTCTGCAGCTGACAAACGGGTTCAAGCTGAATGGTGTCCCGGATGATGCGATCCGCCTTCATCTCTTCCCCCATTCTCTGGCGGGGAATGCTAAGAGGTGGTTGGAGACCCAGCCCCCATTGTCCATCACCTCTTGGGACGATCTGGCTGACAAGTTCGTGCACCGGTACTATCCGGCATCGAAGACTACAGAGATTCAGCGGGAGATCACTCACTTCCGCCAGGAGCCAGATGAGTCACTCCGTGATGCTTGGGAGCGGTACATGGGCTACTTCTGGCAGTGCCCCCACCATGGCTTTAGTGATGCTTTCACTGTGGGGAACTTCTACAGCGCTCTCTCCCCAGATAGCCAGAGGGTGATTGAGTCTTTATGCCCAGGAGGGGATGTTCTGACCAAGACTCCACCCGAGCTGAATCAGATGATTAATACATTGCCTGCCAGAGATCATTCTTGGGGGCAGAGCAGCAGAGGCAGACATTCCAGGGACCGTGGTGTGCACGCCATGGAGACCAGATCCGGGCTCGAGCAGCAGGTAGCTGAGCTAGTGCAGACATTGAAACAGCCCAACAGTCTTATTCCGGGCAGAGGCATGGCTACACCTTCAGTTGCTCAGTGTCAATGGTGTGAGAGCTCGAGCCACTTAGTAGAAGACTGCCAAGCTATGAGGGAGTCTACTACCCCCCAAGAGCAGTTGGACTTCATCGCCAATGCTCGGCGCCTCGACCCGTACAGCAACACCTATAATGAGGGGTGGCGCCAGCATCCCAACTTTGCCTGGAGCAGCAACACCACTAAGCCACCTGGTTTCCCAGCACCAGCAGGTGGTTTTCAGCAGAGGCAGCCCTTCCAGGCTCGCCAGGGGCCAGACCCACACCAGCCCTACCAGCCCAGGCAGGGGCAGCCATTCCAGCAGCCCCAGCGCCAGTTTGCCGAGCCAGTAGCAGCTCCAGCCCCAGATGACAGGATGACGAAGCTGGAAAACATCCTAGCTTCATTCATGACGAGCACTCAGGCAACTATCACGAGGTTGGACCAGAGTGTAGCCTCACTGGAGGCAGGTCAGAGGAACCAGGGTGCCATTTTGCAGGATCTGCAGACCCAGGTGGGCATCTTGGCCCGCCAGAACACCACCAGGGCACCTGGGACTTTGCCTACCACCACTGTTCCGAATCCTCGAGATCCCCACCAGCATCAGCAGCTGGATGCCATTTTTACCAGGAGCGGTAAGGTCATATCTGCTGATCCTGTCCCGGCCAGACAGGAGGAACCACTACCTGCTTCAGCACTTCCAGCCGACGATGCAGAAGTGCGGGTGGAGAAGGAAGCCCCTGCTCCCAAGCCACAACCAGTGGTTAAGGAGCATGTGCCCCAGCTTCCCTTCCCCACTCGCCTACACAAAGACAAGCTGGAGACTGAGTTTGCCAAGTTCATGGCAATGTTGAAGCAGCTCAACATCAGCATACCGTTCATGGAGGCACTGTCGAAGATGCCCAAGTATGCCAAGTTCATGAAAGATATCTGCACCAACAAGAAGAAACTTGGGGATCTCTCGACAGTGATGTTGAGCGAGGAGTGTTCTGCTATCCTGCAGAACAAGCTGCCCGAGAAGCGCAAGGATCCAGGGAGTTTTACTATCCCTCTTACTATTGGCAGCATGCATGTAGGCAAGTCCTTGGCGGACCTAGGTGCTAGCATAAACGTCATGCCATATAAGTTGTTTAAGAAGCTAGACTTAGGTGAACTTAGCCCTACTAGGATGAGCATTCAGCTCGCTGACCGTTCCATTGTGCATCCTAGGGGTGTTATAGAGGATCTGCTTGTTCATGTTGGTGCATTCACATATCCTGTTGATTTTGTTATTCTTGATGTAAATGAGGATGTGGATGTACCTTTGATTCTAGGTAGGCCATTTCTTGCCACCGCCAAGGCACTTATTGATGTGCATGAAGGAAAACTGATCTTGCGTGCTGGGAATGAACAGGCTACTTTTTCTGTGACTGAGTTTGATCACTGTGCTATGATTGATGTCACGCCTGTGCATGCTATGTCTGATCAGGTACACGAGCTTGTCGTGTATCCTGCTGCTCCTCTCATTTTGCAGGACCCTCCTATCAGTCCTTCGCCGCCACTCCATCCAGCCACGCCTCCGAACAAAAAGCTCAAGGAGGAGTGGCGGCCGAAGCAGCAGGTTGCTAAGCCTGCACGGAAGAAGAGTGGAGACCACTATGAGCTGGTCCCACCTCCTGCACCACGACCACCCTGGCCGTCTGGGTACTCGCTCTCCTGCATCTTGCCAGATGGGCAGGTCGAGCTGACTGATGAGGGTGGTCGCATCCGTCGGGTGCATGGCCACAACCTCAAGCTGTACCTCAAGAGCGATGTGGATCCGCTCTTGGAGGCACCTGTTCCTGCACCGCCCTGAGTATCCACCATGGGCGTCCAGCTAATACGACGGTAAAGAAGCGCTTGTGGGGAGGCAACCCCACCACGGTTTGATTTTCTTTCTTGTGTTTTGAGTCGGATTGTAACCCGGTTTGGGTTTGGTTTGTTTTCTTTTGGTTTGGATGATATTTTATTGGGCTGACCATTGAACCTAACATATTGTGTCTGAGCTCTTCTGTTTCCCTTTGGCTGTGCGTGCCCCGACTGGCCCGTTTCCAGTCTCCTGCAGTCCGTGCATACCGGTAACATCGTTCCCTTATCCTTCCCTCTTCTCCATTGAGGGCAATGTCGATCTTAAGTGTGGGGGGATGTTTATCTTTTTTGACTGCATTAGATCTGTTTGTGTGCTTGGAGCCTAGTCCACTGTCCAAATTTTTAAATTTGAGGGCTCCAAGTACGTGTTTCCATGCAATTGCCTGCTCAGTATGCTTTGAATTGACAGTCTTTATAGTAATATGCAACCTAGGGAGGTAGTGTAGCACTATGGAGGATGTTGATGCATTTAAGAAGTCTCATTTCTTCTTCATATTGTGTTGGTTGATTGAGTGAATTAGTGATCTTAGGACCCTTGAATTGTGTGGTGTTGTGGATTCTCTAGCTGTCATGGACTCTTGTATCATGTTTTGAGTTTAACAGGTGCTCGAAAATGTGCTTCAAAATAACGTCTCCCGTGCGAATAGGGCGAAAGTGTGTAAGGGGAGACGGGAATCCGTTCCCAATTTCCACCTACTACCTCCAGCCCCCTTGCATGTCTTTCCCCCGCACGAGGCTCGAGACATCCGCTCCTGGCATGGTTGGTAAGAGCAGGTTGGAACCCTTAAAAAGAAAAGAAAAGAAAAACAACAGAAAACAAGCAAAACAGAAAAAAAGGGGTTCCAACCATCTTTAGGCAGAAAATAGAGCACCTTGAAAAATGTGAGTCCATGATCTTTTGTTTTTGAGAATCTCTTCATCCACAATTCATTTGTCCTCTGTTCACTGTTTGCCATGATGCCGACTCACCGAAGAAGCTATGAGATGACTTGTGCGTCGGTTGACCTCGTAAGCTGCTAAATGATCTAGGAAGTCCTCTACCTACGATCTAGGTTGTTTGTTGCTATAGAGGTCTGGAGAGTTGCATTGGTTTGAGTTAGGTTGGACAAGCAAACGGTTAAGTGTGGGGGAGTTTGATAACGATGTAATTGTACATGTTTGCGCCCCTAGTTCTTATCCGTTTGAGGGGCATATTCGTGTGTTGTGGCCTATTTTACGCCGGGTTGTGCTATTTTGTCATGTTTCAGGTCCCAGGTGTCAAAGGGAAGGCTAAGCGCGAGTTTCGGGGCATTCGGAAGTCATTTCGGTGAGCTGGAGCCAAAACACGGGCACACCTAAATCATTACACGGCCGTGTTCTGGTGGCCGTGCTTTTTATGCCGAGAGCTGAGCTGATTACACGGGCAGGGCCAAAACAAAGCACAGGCGTGTTCAAGCATTACACGGCCGTGTCCAAAGCGAAGCACGGCCGTGTTTCTCCCCACTGCTGCTAGTGTAATTAACACTAGCCAAAGCACGGGCGGGCTGAGGCATTACACGGCCGTGCCCTCGACTGTGCTTTGGCTGATGCCTTTTTAAGCAGATTTTCAGCCAAACAGAAGGGGATTCGAGTTTTTGAGAGAAAGAACGACTTCTAGAGAGAGAAAGTGATGAGCAAGAGTTCCCAAGTGCCCTAGATTGATCTTCAACACCATTGGAGGCCAGCTTGAGCTTGGAGAAGTGCCAATCAACGTCCAGAAGCAGGAATCCATCCTTCACAGTATGAATTCCGTGTCTGATTCTGCTTTTGCTTTCTTCTCTATGGAGTAGTTCTCCCATTCATCTGGGTATGGAGAACCCTAGATTTGTATGTTAGGCTTTGATTGTATGAACCCAAGTACTGATTCTATGATTTGATTATATTCGATCGAGGTTCTGATCAAATTCCTGTTGTTTCTGCTTTAACCTAGAATGAGAATATCTGCCTAGGTTAATAGAGTATCCTTGATTGAAGGTAGGGAGTTGGTGACTTTAGTCGAGGAGCCAACTCACTATTCTGTACCGGATTTACTCCGGTAGTGGAGGTTTTGTTCTTAGGGCCTCAATCTGTCGACTCCGGTGGAGGTTAGTCGCCCGCTAGAGAGTCAGATTGAGAGGATCTGAAGACCTTTAGTCGAGACTTCAGGCTGTTTAAGAACCTTCCGCAGTATAATCTTCATAGAAACTGAACTTGGTAATTACAATCTGGCTTAACTGCAGTCTAGGGGGAATCATATCCGGGTGACCTCTTTAACCTGAATACAACCAGTTTACTTGCTTTGTTTGTTTGGTAGATTAGACTTGCACTCCAGTTTTATTGCTAAATAACAAGAACTCACTGAGTAGTCAGCAAATCTAGGACCCAGGTTGATAATTAAACCTAAACCCGCTATACTACGCTTTAGGAAGTGGTTACACTTGGCCAATTCCTGGAGTGACAGTAGAGTCGAGTCAATGGGCCTGGGAGGTGGCGATGGGATGGGCCGGGAGGACACTGAAGTAGGCCAGCGGGCCCACGCGGAGAAGAAAGAGTGGTTGGGCTGTGGCGACCCTCTGGGAGCACGAGAGTGGGAGGAGCCGCCATGACGTTGCCCCTGTGTGTAAAAGGCCGTCGGAACAGAGGTAGACAGCCGAGCTTTAAGGTCTGCCTCGTACTCCACCAACGAATCAACCAAATCCTCAAGAGTGAGTTCAGGACCGCGGGCACGAACGACAGCAGAGAAGGATTGGTAATCGCTCCAAGGCCACGAAGACAATAGGCAATGAGGTCAATATCTTTAACCGGCTCACCAATAAGGGCGAGTTCAGTGGCAGTGGTCTTCAGATCGTTAACAAATGAGAGGATATCATGGTCGCCTTTGGAAGTTTTAGCAAGCTTCCCCTTCAAGTAAATGATACGCGACTGAGCATTGCTCGCGTACAGCTTTTCCAGAGTCAACCAGGCGGCGCGGGCGGTGGAAGCGGCAGAGACAAAGGAGTAAATCGATTCATCAATTGAACATCTCATGCGTGAAGAATTAGTTTGTCTTGCCTGAACCAGTTATGATAAGCCGGATTCAGAACGGTGACAGAGTCCGCCGTGATGGATTACTGTGGGGCGACGGTGGTCCCATCTATGTAGCCGATTAGATCAAGCCCCATGAGGAGGGTTTTCAGTTGCGAACGCCACGACGCAAAGTTGGTCGGGGTGAGCTTCAAGGGAAGCTGAGCGACGGGATTGAAGGTAATGATTTGGACCTCTGAATTTTTGGATCCATTATTTGAGTTGGAAGCAGTGGCGTCGCCAGCCATGATGATACGAGAAAGGAATCAAGGGAGGGCAGGGACGAAGTGAGAACAGAAGAGAGAGAAAAAAAAATCGAAGAAGGAAGAGGTAAAAGGTAAATCAGATCTAGCTGATCGTTGCTAGCTCTAATACCATGTTGAGCATGGAAGATTTGGGATAATTGATGAATCTGAGTTGTTTTTCTCATTAACTGATACAAGAGTTAATATACATATTTTGGGGAGTGAAAATAGTGCACGCAGCAACTAACCACTAAGCACCTCCCTCAAGTATAGGAACCAAAAAAGGGAGTGAAGAGAATAAAAGAAAATTGAATTTATTTATCTCTAATAAATCAGACTGCGATATTATCAATTGCAAACTAAATATTCTTCCCAGCAAAGTTCAATACCTTCCTAATCAACAAATTACCTTTCTTTCCGACTTCCCCATCAATCAATTCCGGGATTCCGTCTCCTGCATTAGATCGACGGGCATCATCTCTGATTTCTCACCAACTCTGTCTTTGTTAATGAAGTTCGCGAATTAGTTTACAAAATTCGCGCTCCAACCGAAAGTAATTCGCGAATTTTTTGCGGATCCCTTCAAATCCGCGTTTTTGCGCTCCAAGTCGGGAGCGTCGACCCCTTCCTGGCGAATTGTGTGACCTAACTCTGACCTCTCTCTTACCCAATCGGACAGCATAGAGCTCTAGGCGGCGACCCTCCTTCTCAATTTCTTATTCTTCAATCTCCCAAACCCAGTCTTCTCCGCCGTGTCGAGCTTCTCTTTCGGCGATGGTGGATCGATGGCAACGACAAGGCTGGCGGGATGGCTCAATCGGGCAATGGTCGAACTCGGCGCCTTCGCAAATGTTGAAACCCACCGACTCTGAATTCGATTCCTCTGCTCCATGGATGAATCCGCCCTCCAATCGAGATACAAGGGGTACAAATTCAGGCCGACTTGTACGAGCTAACATTACGTGGAGTTGACGTGGTTCTCGGTGTTCAATGGCTTGAACAAGCGAGTCCGGTATCCTTCGATTGGAAGAAGGCGACCGTGCGTTTTAAAGAGAAGGGCTCATGGGTTACGTTGCAGGGAATTCTTGAACCCACCAACAAGGACGCTGATCCCGCGAAGCGCAACTCAAAGGAGATCCGACGGCTCCATGGTGGTTTCGAAAGAATTGGTCGCATTGGAGAAGGTTCGGGTGCTGCTGCTGCAATGTCTGACTTTGTCCCATCGATCGGATCAGTGATAGAGGCCAATGCGGGTCTCGTTCCTGGCCGCCAAGCCACGACGTCAGCACCATTAGCAACTACGTTGTCGTTGCCAATATTGCAAGAATTCGTCCCTGTCATTGAGGAGGAGACCACCCCAACTCGACGTAGGAGCAAACCGCAGAAGAAGGTAGAGCTCGTCGAGATTAAAATAGAGGCCGCCCTCTCATGTCACGAGCTGGAGGTATCACTCGTCCCATCCGTGGCCAGCGATGGCTTGATTGTTGTGGAGGCAAACGTCGACGATGTCCCGGCCATCCGCCTCAAAGGGGGGAGGCGCTCCTATCGTAGGAAGAAGAGGAAGAAACGACGAGAAGTTATGGTGAAGCGATTGGGATCCCTAACCGAGTCATTGGAGGCCGAGGATGAAGATGAAGTTGTTTTCCTCAAGGACCCTCCCTCTGCTCTACCATTGCTGCCCGGAGCTCATGTTCTGCTAGACCGTGCGGCAAGGAAAGATTACGAGGAGTCGTCAATGGTTACGACAACTCAATGTAAGGCCGCCATCGACGTCGCCACGATGGATTCTTCCTCTCCGCAGTTACGTTCGAATGGTGGGTATGACACTGAAGCAAGATCGAGTCTAAGAGGAGTCCCGTATGGACCGCTGCGACATGGACTGGTTCCGGGTCCGGGATGCATTGGACCAAGAATGGGTGGGCTAACCGGAGCATTATTATACGGGATTGGTTCGTTAGGTTCGGAAGTTTGTATTCAATCGACGAGAAAAGTGGCTGCTTGCGATGGTACTAAAGCCATTTTGCGACATAAGTATGGGTCGTCGGACTTCTGGCAATCTTGTGAAGAAAGGAATACGATTGATGAGCATAATGGAACTCTCGGCCTGCGGGGAGTTAGAGGTGAAGACCACGTGGAAGTGCAGGACGTGGAGTGGGGATTTGGATTTACATGTGATTTACAGGGATGGCATGAAAACAACATTTGCATGACAAGAGCCTATTCTTATGCGCCAGTACGTGGCTTGCATGGAAAATGGCCTTTGAAAGATGAACATTATTGGTGGCAAGCCATTTCGTGCACGAAGAGGAGGAATTGATGACATTCGGTGATAGGAGCATGGTTTCAACTTCCTGCTGTTTTCGGAAACGACAAAATGTTGTTTTCACCCGTTTTCAACATCAGTTTTCTAAAAAACAGGAAACAGAATTGAAAGTAAACAGGTCCTAAGTGTGTGTAGGATTAATATACTAGTTCCGTTTGGTTTTACACAAACAGATTATTTTAGTCCGAACTTTATGAAGTTGTTGAAAATATCCATATCTTTCGAAATAATTTTCTCTAATTTGGTATGCTATACTACTCGGTCGTCAATTTGAATGATCGATACGTTTGAAAATATGAATAATAATAATTTAGGGATTTCATAAAGCTCAACCAAAGCAGTGTTTTGCACCGAACTACATTTTATAAACTTTACTTACTAACCAATGTTCATGAGTGGATACATTAGCGCAACACTATACCAGTAGCTTGCAAAATGAAAAAATAAAAGGCGCTTTAACTTCTTGATGAAATTAACGCTCTTCATTTAAAAGTTATCTCTTCACTTTGACTTAATCTTTTTCGTTAGCGCCTTCTCGTTAGTTATATTCTACACATAATAATAGCTCTTTTTAATGTTGAGGGGATTAAATGTAAACTAATCATACATAAGTATACTAAAATTGACGAGAAAAACACAATATACTGATCGTATTAGTATACATTCAAAATTTACCTTTACTTACCAATCAATGCACAAAACCAAAAAATTTAATCAACTTTACTTACCAAGCATGTGGAAACACACAAACAGCCACCAAGCATCACATCATCACATAGCAACAAGCACAATAATTACACAAATCTAGGCAGAGTTTGGCGAGGATTCTGACACCAGTCGAATTCATGGCTGCGTATAATTGGGACACTAAAAGCAATACTCAAATCTTTCACGGAAAGTGTAAACGAAAAAAATTTCTTTCACAGGACAGAAGAGACCCGAATCCTTAACGTAGGTCTCTTGCACTAGCTACTTAAGCACTGCATCTCAAAGAGAAATTTCACCATTTTCAACCCACAAATGGCTCTACCTGATTTCCCAGCCATAGGGCTCCTTGTTCTCTTATCTCTTCCCCTTGTGGTTCTCATCATCAAGAACAAGATCAACTTATCAGGAAGGAAGAACAGCAACCTGCAGCAGATACCACCACCTGGTCCTCCTAAACTTCCAGTCTTGGGCAACTTGTATCAGCTTGGTGCTTTGCCGCACCAGTCACTCTGGCGACTTGCCAAGAAATATGGCCCTGTTATGCAATTCAACTTTGGCCAGATACCCGCAGTGATCATCTCCTCCCCTGAAGCGGCCAAAGAAGTCATGAAAGTTCATGACCTTGACACTTGCAGCCGGCCATCCCTGGTTGGAACTAGGAGGCTGACATATAACTATCTGGACGTGGGGTTCTCACCTTACGGAGACAACTGGAGGTTCATGAGGAAAATGATCACACTCGAGCTCTTCAGTGTGAAGAGGGTGAAGGCGTTTCGGTTTGTTCGGGAGGAAGAAGTTGGCCTGCTGATCGACTCCATCTCCGAAATATCAGCATCTGGATCCACCTTTGATCTCACCGAGAAGTGTTTCTCTCTCACAGCAAACATAACCTTCAGGATGTCTTTTGGGTTCAATTACCATGGGAGCGACTTTGACAAAAGCAGGTTTCATGAAGTGATTCATGAAGCTGAGGTTGTTATGGGAACCATATCGGGGGAGGAGTGTTTCCCTCGACCATTTGGTTGGATTGTCGACAAATTAAATGGCCATCAAGCAAGGATTGAAAGAGTTTTCCATGAGCTCGACACTTTCTACAGGCATGTCATCGATGAACACCTTAAGCCCGGAAGGGAAGGAGCTGAAGAAGACATGATCGATCTGATGCTGGCAATTGAGAAGGAACAATCTCAACTACACGGTAGCAAATCTCAGTTCAGAAGAGAGAACATCAAGGCAATTTTCCTGGTAAGCCTCCCCATCTATATACTTCCTCTCCACCAAAATTGAACTCTTTTCCTCTATCAGACACTAATAAGTTTACCTGCCAATCAGAATCTGTTCTTAGGTGGAATCGACACTGCTGCATTGACTGTGAACTGGGCAATGGCAGAGCTGTTGGCAAATCCAATATTGATGAAGAAAGCACAAGATGAGGTCAGGGTCATAGTTGGAGAGAAAGGCAGAGTAACCGAAGATGATCTTGAAAATCTGGAATACTTGAAGCTGGTAATCAAAGAAACTTTGAGACTCCATCCGCCAGCTCCTCTTCTAATCCCTAGAGAAGCATCGACACACTTGAAGATCAGCGGATACGATATTCCCCCCAAGACAATGATCTATGTCAATGCGTGGGGAATGGGACGAGACCCTATCTACTGGAAGAATGCCGATAAGTTCATTCCTGAAAGGTTTGCAAACAGCTGCCTGGATTACAAAGGGCACGACTTTGAGTACCTGCCATTTGGAGCTGGTCGCAGAATCTGTCCTGCAATTAACATGGGAATAATCACGGTCGAAACTGCACTGGCGAACCTTCTGTATTGCTTTGACTGGAAATTGCCAAATGGGATGAAGCCCCAAGATTTAAACATGGAAGAGAAGAGTGGCGTCAGTCTTACTGTGTCCAGAAAGGAGCCTCTCCTACTCGTCCCTGTCAACTGGAAGCACATCGGCAAAGCAATATGAATCCACATTCCTCAGCAGTGAAAATTTCTATGCTACTACTTCTAAATCAGAAAGACTAAGATATATGTTCTACTAGTCTACTACCATATCGGGTTTGTTTTGTATGCAATTAGCGTGCATAAGAAAATATTAGAGAACCTTATCTGGGAACAACTTTGTACTGCACAATGAATGCTGAAATGAAAGCCAAGAACACCAGAGATAACCCGAAAATGGGAACAATAGGAAGGGAAGCAACATGTACAATTATCCTTATTCAAAGATAACAACTTTGAAGCCATGAATATCGAGCAGCAGTTCAGCAGAATTAGCAAAAGCAACTTAATGATGATGCACATGAAACTACTGAATTTAGGGTTCACAAACAACAAACATTTTTCTCCCAAAAAAAAAAAAGGGTTCACAAACAAAGTCCGCAATTTGATCTATGGTGATTGGTGATAACTGGCGTTCACTAGAAAAGATTGTTATACCTGACTGAATTGGCGCGACCCAATCTCAATTCACAATAAGACTATGGCGGAACAAAGTTGGCGAGGTTCATTGAAGCTACACTGAAATCCCAAAAAACCGCAACCTGGGTAAAGGATTCGACCCAATAGGCGGCCTCTGGCTGGTCGATGCACCCAAATCCCGATGGAATTAGGTGAATCGGGCAGAATATCATGACGAGATTGGGTCAATTTGGCGCCGGACTGGTGGAGGAGCACAAACGGCGGCGGAATTCAACCCGGCAGCGACGAATTGACGGCGGGGGAAAGATGGAGGGAGCGGCTTTCCCGCCGGAGTGGCGCATGGGATATCGCCGGGCCGAGAGTGGAAAAATATCTTACGTGGATTATAATAAAATAAAGAAAAAGGAAAGGGAGTTATTATTTATCGCCCTAAATTTTTAAATTTTAACGCCCTAAAAAGCTCTCGCACGTGAGAGTATCTCCATTGGTGCAATTGCATTTGCAATCTTTTTGACACAACACCATTTTTGCAAACCAACTCACTTTACTTTCATTGTACCTACATTGGTGCAATTAACTTGCAATTGCATATGGGACCTAAATTTTGTAATGCATTTAAAAACATTTTTTAAATACCTTTTTATCCATATTGCAAGTAAATACCTTTAATTTAAATTAAATATATACAATTAATTCATAAATTTTTTATTACTAATTTATGAATACATTTTGATCTTGAGGATGGAATAGAAAGAATCTAGTACTCAATAATTATTCATAAAATCAAAATAAAATGCTAGAACTAGCACAATATTCAAATAGGACACATAAATAAAGTAAAAAAACTTATATCTAAAATTTTAAATGGAACAATATAAAGACAAAAATGTAAATTAAACATCATTTTCCTCATCTCCAAATCGAGCCCATATCTCTTCTATCAAATCTTATTGAAGTTGATTATTTGTAGAGCGATTACGAATTCTTGTATCATTGCGAAGATACTCTTCATACTCCAGGAGACGATTATTTGAAACTGCAGGCATAGAGACACTAAAGTTGACATCATCATCTGTATAATCAAAATGCCGGATATATGAATGAATTAAAGTAATAAAAATTTAATTTTCTATTAATATTTTTATGTATATTTTATTATAATTAATAAAATTAGTATATGATACTATTTACTCCCGTGGATACAAAAATAACAATTATACTAATTTAACGCATGGTCCATGGAAATTAAAAAAAAATCCAATAATAATAAATTTATGATACATGCATCCAAAAGTTGGCATTGAAATCATAACAAGAAAAAAAAAATTATAGTCATAAATTCCACCGTCACTTGCAATGCCACTTTCACTAGATGAAAGTTTCTATTTTTGCAATAACCACTCACATGAGTGCAATGGACAAATGAAATTGTAAACTTGGGCCGCGTAAGAATGAAAGTGGAGAGTTTCTCCGATGGAGATGAGAAGGGACACGTGTGCGACATTTCGCGCCAAGATTTCCCGCCAACATAACCATCTATCCCGTCTTCTCTAGTTCAGCCTTCCTCCGCTCTCATTTCAGTCGGCGAAAACAAATAACAGCAGAAAGAGTAATTTCTCGGCTAGAAATCGCATTATCCTATTTCCCGGCGGCGAAGGCGAAATATCAACTACAGCGGGAGAGATATGTCAGGCTGGGACGAAGGAGCCGTGTACTACAGCGACCAAGCGCAGTTCCCGGAGTCCGGCAACGATGGCGGCGGCGGCGGGCACAGCCGCCACACCATCCTCCGGAAGTTGAAGGAGTTCATCAGAAACTTCGAGACCGACAAGAACGTTTTCCCGTACCGAGAGAGTCTCGTTCACAACTCCAAGTCTCTCTTCGTGCACCTCGAAGATCTGCTCGCTTTCGATGCCGAGCTTCCTTCGCTCCTCCGTTCTTCCCCCGCCGATTACCTCCCTCTGGTACGTCGAATCGGAGAAATCGATTGGGAATCTGGTGCATCTCGCCTTCGATTTGTGTGTTCGGTACTGGTTTGATTTTAGGGATTTGTTTTGACCTATTTTTTTCCTGTAGTTCGAGACGGCGGCGGGGGAGGTGCTGCAGGGTTTGAGGTTGAAGAAGTTAATGGATGACGGGGAAATGAAGGAGCCGGAGACTGGGGAAGTTCAGATACTACTGAGTTCGAAGGAGGATCCGGTTTCCATGAGAGCCCTAGGGGTTAGTTTAATGAATGGATGGGAACTAATGTTAATTTAGATTTCGCTTCTGCGATGTTTAATTTGAACATAATGTTGTTGGTTTGCAGGCTGATTACATTTCCAAGCTGGTGAAGATATCTGGAATCACCATTGCTGCTTCACGAGTTAAGGCGAAAGCCACATATGTGAGTTTGGTGTGCAAGAACTGTCAGAGTACAAAGGAAGTTCCTTGTCGTCCAGGGCTTGGAGGTGCTGTCATGCCACGTTCTTGTGACCATGCTCCTCAGGTTTGTACCTCAGTCACCTCATCCACATTCGTTCAATATGGTTTTCGGTCATCCAGGGCTTAATTCAGCTGTTGCGTATGTGTGTAGCCGGGTGAAGAAGCTTGCCCCATTGATCCTTGGATTATAGTTCCTGACAAAAGTAGATATGTTGATCAGCAGACCCTGAAATTGCAAGAGAATCCCGAGGTAATGTGATTGAATTAATGATACTTTTTGTAGTTTGGGTCTTACTTTTGTGATTGATGTTTTTGTAATGCTGATGATGAAGGATGTCCCTACTGGAGAGCTTCCTAGAAACATGTTACTTTCTTTGGATCGTCACTTAGTTCAAAGAATAGTACCAGGGACAAGGCTGACCGTCATTGGAATCTACAGCATTTTTCAGGCAGCCAATTCATCAAATAAGTAAGAACCAAGCACATGTGAATGGTTCTTCTTAAATCTATTGTGTTTTGAGATATTTGAGATTTATGGGCTAATGATTTGCCGTTGTGCAGCAATAGAGGAGCTGTTGCAGTTAGGCAGCCATATATAAGGGTTGTGGGGATGGAAGAAGCCAATGAAGCCAGTAGTCGTGGTCATGCATCCTTTACACAGGAAGAGGTATGCCATGGAAATTTCGAGTACATTTTCATCATCAATTTTTCCTGTTGCTATAACAGCTCCGTCTTTGTCCACAAGTAGTGTTACCCTTTCACCTCCTGCTCTAATCTACTAGGCATGAAGCTCCTGCCTAGAGGTCCATACTTAGAATTTAGCTAGGTATCATTTGACGATCAGAGGGACAAGACATCAAAAAGCTGAATTGCCTGCTAAAATGATTAAAAAGGGACATCTTTTTGTGGGAAAAAATCCCAAGTTACACATGTTTTTAAAAAAAATTCTCAAAATACACATGTTATGAAAATAATTCCCAATCTACACATGTTTGGGCCTTCACCGCGTCAGAGAAGGGCGGTGATTGCTTCACCGCGTGAGAGAAAAACGGTGATTGCTTCACCGCGTGAGAGCAAAACGGTGAAGCACTGAACTGCGTCCAAACTTTAAAACAACGTAACTTTGTGCTCGGTTATCCGATCGTAGCGAATTTTTTTTTTATTCCGCATAATTTTTCGAGATCTTGCAAGCCGCAAACCGCCGGAGGCGGTTTGGTCCCGCCTTCGTCTCGAAAAAATGTCGTTTGCTACCCCGAACGTGCCTTTTTTCGATTTCGTCAAATTTTGAACGCCCATAACTTTGTGCTCCACAATCCAAAAATCATGAATTTTTTTTTTATTCCGCATAACTTTTTAAGGACTACAATTTTTATCATAGACATAATTTCGGAATGTACTTGGATTCCTGAAAAGGGAAGGTAAAGTTATTCCCAAAACCCCTTATATCCATAAATAATTCATTTTTTGAAAATTCTTCGGAATGTACTTGGATTCCTGAAAAGGGAAGGTAAAGTTATTCCCAAAACCCCTTATATCCATAAATAATTCATTTTTTGAAAATTCTCTCCTACTAAAAATTGTAGTCCTTAAAAAGTAATGCAGAATCAAAAAAAAATTCATGATTTTTGGATTGTGGAGCACAAAGTTATGGGCGTTCAAAGTTTGACGAAATCGAAAAAAGGCACGTTCGGGGTAGCAAACGACATTTTTTCGAGACGAAGGCGGGACCAAACCGCCTCCGGCAATTTGCGGCTTGCAAGATCTCGAAAAATTATGCGGAATCAAAAAAAAATTCGCTACGATCGGATAACCGAGCACAAAGTTACGTTGTTTTAAAGTTTGGACGCAGTTCAGTGCTTCACCGTTTTGCTCTCACGCGGTGAAGCAGTCACCGTTTTAGTTTGAAACGGTGAATACATCACCGTTTTAGACAAAAACGGTGAAGTATTCACCGTTTTGGTCAAAAGCGGTGATGACCTTCACCGCTTTTGTCTAAAACGGTGATGCTCAAACATGTGTACTTTTGGAATTTTTTTTATAACTTATGTATTTTGGGAATTTTTTTTAAGAACTAGTGTACTTTGGGATTTTTTCCTCTTTTTGTGTTCGCATACCATGCGTAATAGTGCTCCTTTCCTTGCTTAATGATCTATGAGTGCATCTTCTAAACATTATTCAATTGGGTATTCTATAATGTATCAAAAGCTTCAGACATTAAGTTGACTTAACACAATCATATAATACACAGGAAGAAGAATTTAGGAGATTTGCCTCCAGAACAGATGCTTACGAAGCCATCTGCGCTAAGATTTCTCCATCTATATTTGGGGAAGAAAATGTGAAGAAAGCTGTGGCTTGCCTGCTATTTGGAGGTTCTAGGAAGGTACGGCTGCTCGAATTTTTGTCTATTATTGCTTATGTAGCAGATAGCATTGTTGTAACCAATTGCTTCACGCCTTCGCCAATACAGAACTTGCCAGATGGGGTGAAGTTAAGAGGTGACATCAATGTGCTGCTTCTAGGAGACCCTTCTACTGCTAAATCACAGGTTGGTTCCATTCTATACCAAGTTTTCCCCCCCATAACAGCATAGTGCTTATCATTATAACTAGGATTTGCTTAACTAATTAGTCTCTTTTTGTGATTGTTTTTGCTTGATGCAGTTTCTCAAGTTTGTTGAGAAAACAGCTCCTATCGCTGTTTATACTTCTGGGAAAGGCTCATCAGCTGCTGGTCTGACAGCATCTGTGATACGGGATGGAAGCTCTGTAAGCTCTTGGACCTTTGAGTAGTGGAATTTCTTTCGCTCAATATCTGCAGTATTATGACCTGACTGGAATTTGGTGATCTGTGAAATCAGCGAGAATTCTACCTTGAAGGAGGAGCCATGGTTCTAGCTGATGGAGGTGTTGTGTGTATAGACGAGTTTGACAAGATGAGGCCTGAAGACAGGTATCTGGAAATAACAATTTATCTATTTTCCCCCTTTTGATTGGTTCCTCCAATGCTTACGCAATTTGTTAAACTGCTTCAGGGTATCTATTCATGAAGCTATGGAGCAGCAGACAATATCCATCGCAAAAGCAGGAATTACAACTGTTCTCAATTCAAGAACTTCAGTACTTGCAGCTGCTAATCCTCCATCAGGACGGTATGACGATCTCAAGGTTAGTAGTTATACTTATTCTTTCTCCAACCTTCCATATGCACATTTGTGGCTTTTTTCCAAGGAGCTAATGTAAGTTTCTTCCTTTCAGACTACTCAGGAAAATATTGATCTGCAGACAACAATTCTGTCTCGATTTGACTTGATCTTCATAGTGAAAGACAGAAGAGACATGAAGCGAGATAAGGTAATTTTCTTTCATGTGCAGTCTGAATAAAGTAAACCCTTTACATTTCATGTTGCATTTGGGAGCACGGGCTTTCATTGTAGTTCTCTGTAACTTCTCAAAGAGTAAAATTGGCGAGAAGTACTGTTGTTTTGTTGTAGTAACTCAATTCCTTCTCTTGCAGATCATTGCCAGCCATATCATAAAGGTTCATGCATCTGCTGATCAAACGGCCACAGACCACAAGGTTTCTAAAGAAGATAACTGGCTCAAGAGGTAAGTATCTAACTGTGCATCAGCAGCAGAGTTGGTGTTCATTTATCTTCATTTCCTCTTTATTCAAGGACTGACGCCAGTCCTAACTGGGTTTATCCTTTGCAGATACATACAGTTCTGTCGGACAACTTGTCGCCCTCGTCTCTCCGAGTCAGCAGCCACGAGACTCCAAAACGAATACGTCAGATTCAGACAGGTATATTTATGCAACATGGAAACATAACAGCAGCAGTCAAATTTTGGTGTTTTCAGATAGTAATAACAGAACTAATGTCTAGTTTTTTTTTTTGGTTTTAGGACATGAGAAGGCAAGCCAATGAAACAGGAGAAGCATCTGCTGTGCCCATCACAGTAAGACAACTGGAAGCAATTGTAAGGCTGAGCGAGTCTCTTGCAAAAATGAAATTGTATGTGTGAGATCACTCGAAGTGCCATTCAGTCACTCTTACAACACTGCAGAACTGCGTAACCTGTTTCTCATACATTTCCTTTTCTTGTCAGGTCACAGATTGCAACAGAGGCTGACGTGGTTGAAGCAGTGAACCTCTTCAAGGTGTCCACCATAGAGGCAGCACAGTCCGGGATCAACCAGCACGTGACTTCTACCCCCGAGATTCAGGTTTGTTCCTCCTTAGTCTAGCTAATGATTCTGCATTCCCATTTCTTTCTGCTGTTTGATGTTCATGGTTTTGTTGATCCCACTGAAACAGCAAGCCGAAGCTCAGATAAAGAGAAGGATTGGGATAGGAATGAGGATATCTGAGAGGAAGTTGATCGATGATCTCAGCAGGATGGGGATGAATGAATCCATTGTAAGTACAGCATCACTATTGTATCTTTCCAATTAGATGTTTATGCATGAATCAAAGTGAGTGACTGGAGGTTTGGATCGATCGATGGATGATCACAGGTGAGAAGAGCTCTAATTGCCATGAACCAGAGGGACGAAATCGAGTACAAGCATGAAAGACGCATCATTGTGCGAAAGTTGTGAACTTAAAAGCCGGCAGAGAAGATGCTTTTGGATGGCAACTATAGGAAGCTTGAATGTACAATGTGCATTGTAGTTTGGCATGGCATCAATCACTATTTTAGCTACTATCCAGCAGCGTGTAATGGATCATCTTAGTTACTAGTTAGTTACCTCTTCCTCTTCTAGTCATTGTCAAACTAATTAGGCTATTATACCATTTTTAGAAGATATTTATTTGCAAATACATAAGAATCTAAATTATATGGAGACTAACGTGTTCGACACGCTCATATTATCGAGCCGAATGTTAGACTAAAGTATATTTAAAAGGGAGAAAGACTTAGACTAATAGAATTGACAAGTCTCGAGATTTAGACTCATAACTCATTCTTCACATAAACACGACAATCTACTAGATTCCTTAGGCAACACGTTTTCTCCTCAAGATCACTAATGCTATAAATGAAAATAATAACTTTCATAATGTAATTCAAAAATATGAACCCAACATTTAAAATGAATATGACATAGAATATAATTATAAAATACTACTAGTTAAACTACATATGGCATAAATCTTCCAATCAAGAATTGTCGAGGCTGCTGCTTAGTCCACCTTTCTTAATCTCTTGGGTTTCTTGGCTCTTACTTGTTTCTAACGATTCTACTTTCAATTCGTCCTTCGATTTCAGGAACTCAATCAGCCTAGTAAGAACATCTTGAGGGTCACCAGCATCATCATCATCATCCTCATCATCGTCATTCCTCATTAGCTGCTCGGCGACTTCAGCAGGAGTCACCTGGCACCTCGAGACGAGCTCCTCGATCTCAGGAAACAAACTATGATCCTTCACTCCAAGGTAATTGGAAGCCAGAATCCTGAACCCACAAGGAGTACAGTAAGACAGATTGATGTGCACATCCATTCTCCCGGGCCGCATCAATGCCGGGTCAAGCTTCTCCTTGTGATTGGTAGTGAACACGATGATCCTCTCGTCGCCACAGCTCGACCACAACCCGTCGATGAAATTCAGCAACCCCGACAGCGTCACCTGCCGCCTCGGCGGATGATGATGGGGATTATGGTGTTTCTGCTTGGCCGCAGACCGATTCTGCAAATCGATTGTGCAATCAATGTCCTCCACGACCAGAATCGACCGGTTCGCGGTCGCGATGATCAGCTTCCTGAGCTCCGAATTCTCCCTCAGCTGCGTCAGCTCCAGGTCGTAGACGTCGAAGTTGAGGTAGTTCGCCATGGCGGCGATCAGGCTCGATTTCCCCGTCCCCGGCGGGCCGTACAATAGGTATCCTCTTTTCCACGCCTTGCCGACTTTTCTGTAGTAGTCCCTCCTCCTGACGAACCGCGCCAGGTCCTTCAGGATCGCGGTCTTGACCCCTGCGTCCATCGCCAGGGTGTCGAACGTGGCCGGGTGGTCCAAATTTACACCGGTCCATACCTTGGAAATGTTACCGTACAGATTCTCCGGCTCCACGGTGAAGATCTTGAGCGTCTTCTTCTCCTCCTTCATTGCTCTGGCTTCCCTCACGATGTGGTGGAAGTAGGATTCGACCGCCATTTTTTCGTGCTGTTTGGGGAAGCTGACCTCGAAGCGCCGAGCGTGCGAGAGGGACAGTATGGAGGAGGAGTCGTCATCGGTACTTCTTCGAGACGATCCGAGTCGCCGAGTTGAGGATTTGATTTTCTTGGAGCGCAGAACCCACCTGAAATTCACGCCCTGGAACTCGTCCACGACCTCCTCGTGGCTCTCCATCCTAACCTGCAACATAGTGAAAATTGTGATTTTATAGAAGCGTATTTGGTGGTTTAAAAGCGTAAACAACGTTAACCTTTTAAACTTTTGAAACGCAGATGAGTGAAAAGCGCAAACTCTGCGTAGTGATCTGGAAGTGTAAAAGCGCGTAAGGTTTTTAAATTTTTGAAGCGCGCGATTTTGATTGCATTGCTAACCTGAACGCTGTTCTCCTTGTCGGGCTGGCTGACGTTGAGCCTCGTGGTCGACGGGCTGACCCTGCCGGCGAGGTAGGTCTCGGCGGCGTCGTAGATTTGGTTGGGGACCAATCGGTCGTCGAATTGGTTGACGACCATGGTGAACTGTGACGAGAAGCGGCTGAGGAGCTTGCGGATGCGGAAGGAGACGTAGTCGTGGAATTCGGCAGGGAGGAAGTCGTTTGCCAGGGATCGAGCCACCATGACGGTGGCGGTGACGGAGGCGGCGGCTGATAGGACAGCCGTGGCTCTTGATTTGAGTGAGGAAGATGCGGAACGAGGAGGAGCCATTGTCGTGTGTGGTGTTGCGGAATCAATGGCGCAGAAGATGCAGAGTGACCTCGTCTGCTATTTATTTACGTTTGCTGAGCAAAGCAGAGCTCCTAATCCTTATCAGACACGGAAAAGGGGAAAACAAATCCTTTGTGGAAATGGAATACATTGCCCGTAAATACTTAATTTAGCATGCATTAATGCATATGTATATGTACATATTTTGTGTTTAAATTTGTTGTTTGTATATCATTATCAAAGTGTTTTATTTTTTTCATTTCATTTGATTACTTCGATATAAAACTCATATTTAATGAGTTAAAAAGATAATCTGGAAATTAATTATATTTATTTAAAATAGTTGATTTGGTATGTTTATAACTATTAACATATTGTTAAAAGTATTATAGTACCATTCAATCTTTTATACAAAGTAAAATACGTAGCATACCGATACCCTATTTTACTAATTATGATGGAAAATAATTTCGCAAAAATTTAATATAAGTATTATTGTCAATCGTCTTATTTTCTCGTTGCAAGATAATTAATTTATAAACTCCATGAGTGATCCAATTTAACTTTCTCGTTGCAAGATAATTCTACACAATAAATAAAAACCAAATGAGAAAACTTGAAGCCCCATTTCAAATTTCATGCATCCGAGTGAAAGTAGGAAGGACATTTTGGATTTCACGATTACTTTTTTTTATTCATTAAAAAGACACTTACTAGGATTCAACCCATGACCACTTTAAAGAAAAGCAAAGATCATAACTAATCACACTAAGTACATTTGTTGTATCTTTTTAAATTAAAAACATATAATCGCAGAGAGGAAAAAACTCTTCCCCCATTTCAAATTCTCTGCTCCATGAGCGTTTGTAGGAAGAGTAGAAAAGGGAGTGTCATTTTTTTTTCTTTTTCCTCTGTGGAATGGGCCAAATTACCGTACACATGCGGATTTAAACGGGTCCAGGAGTGTCAATTTTTTCTTTAAGTCCTTTTATTTCTCCGTGGTGGTAAAATATATATGAAAATGCAAAAACAATACTCCTTTTTATTGCTAAGAAGAAAAAAATTTAACAATAAACTAATGCATGGATTCTAATGGCTAACCGCTAATCATAAAATAAAAGAGTTGAATAGCGCTGACCAACACGGGATTTGCCCATCAAGTAAAACAAATGAACATCATGGGTTTGTCATTCTAAAACAAGCTATTTTCTCTAGCATAATATATATTATGCTATTATTTTATATCTTAGTGGCTAAAATATAATGTATTTTAAAGTTATTCAATGGTTCAACCTCGACCAACCCAATTAGTCCAATTTTTATCATTTCAAATATATATTATGTAATTATTTGATATCATAATAATTAAATTATAGTGTATATTATAGAGAATTGTTTGGTATTTGTTAGTAAAAAACTGAACTGAAAGATCTATTTGGTTGCTTTTAACATTAAAACGATCCTAAACATTTTCAGTTTCCTTTCGAAATTCTATAGTTTTATTCCCGAATCAGTGATGTGAAAATGGCGAATTGCAGTCATCTCTTTTCTTTCATTATTTTTTATTTTCAAATAGAAAGTTTAAAAGTAAAGAATAATTAGAGTTTGCCATGGGTCGGTCAAACAGGTTGAATTTCAAGTTTTGGCCCGTTTTGATCAAGTCTAATTTATAATCACATGGTTCCCTTATACCCGATAAAAATCTCAAACCAAACAAGTTTGGCAGGTGAGTCCGTGTTTATCACCATTTTCTAGGGATACAGGAACGGTGGTTCCTATCCCAAATCGTGCTGTTCATTCTTGATTTTTTTAGATTTTATCATGGCTTGGCAAAAAAACCAGAAAGCACAATGATGACAAGATGAAAATTTTATAAATCAAATTAATCGGCCAACGGGCCGAGTAAAAGCTAGCAAAGATTGTGAGATGCTCATTTCGCGAAAACCTGCGGGATAGGCGATTTTTTGTTCGATTTTCTGGAATTTGATTTCTATAAAACTTACTCCACGTCATCATATTACTAGAAACAATATTGTTTCACAAGGTATCGGGTACTTAATTTTGGTTCATAAGGCTGATTTTTTATTCGTTGCATCATTCATGTCTCTTTCCTACTAAAATTCACTATTTTTATCACGTGTTTCCAAAAAAAATATACAATAATAAATTATACACCCTATTATATTATCAAATTTCATATCTTATCTTCCTCAGGCCAAATGGCCGGGGCCACGCTAGTCTACAAAAATATATAAGGGGTTTCTCAAAACTACCTTCCCCGTTCAAATTTTCCACTATTCCTCGTAATTCTCGGATTTTCCCTTTTTTTCCGCAAAACTTCCTTCTGCAGCATTTATCCGTATCTTTCCCCATTTCCTTTATTTTTTTCCTCATACATTTTATCTTTATTTTCCCTTTAAAGAATATAATAATCTTAAAAAAATCTTTAAATATATTAAAGGGGTTTTATAAAATGACCCCCTCCACGTCAGCCATGGAGCTTCCTCCGCAACTTTCGGTTTTTTCCGTTTTTCTTATTTTTTTTATTCTTTTTTTATGGCGGTAGTTACCATGTTTTGAGGAATTTTTTCTTTCCGTGTAGTTTTTTTTGGTTATTTAGTTTTCTTCCATAGTTTGATAGTTAATTATTTTATACTCCTGCGGTAATTCAGGTTTGGGTAGAATTAAGAAATTTTTCCTCTTTCACCTAGAAAACTCTTCTACATTTTTAAGGGTTATAGGTATAATATGCCCATCTACTACGAAGCTTTATCAAACATGGCCCTCTATTATTTTTTACATCAAATATGCTCCTGTATTTTGAAAAAAAAATATCAAACATGCCCTTTTGTTAAAATTTCCATTGAAAAAATCGTCAATCATGGTTGAATAGAGATTTAGACGACCTGACATTGGCAAATGAGAGGAAAAATGTCAGTTTTGTCCCCTGATTTATTTCCCTGGGTCTTTTCAAAGTGAAATTAATTGAATGATTTGATTATACAAAAGAACCAAAAAAATTCTAAAGTGAATTTATTAGGGATATTTTAGTCATTTGTGTCGCCCAAACTAAAGTTCAGCCTTTGTTAACGGTTTTTAGATGAAAATTTTAACAAAAGGGCATGTTTGATCATTTTTACAAAGTACAGGGGCATATTTGATGTAAAAAATAGTAGAGAGGCATGTTTGATAAAGCATCATAATAAATGGGCATATTATACCTATAACTTTTTTTAACAATGTTTAAGAAATTCTAGAATGTCGGTTGGATCGAAAATACTGGATATTGGATCCAAATTGGTAGGTAATTTTAACGGTAGGAAACGGCTGAGCTATAACTCAACACGTTTTCAGTACAAAATACTTTACGCTAAACTTTTTCAATATAACCTTTCATACATTCCGTTTTACTCTAAACAAAAGCTCTTTATTATAATTTTGAAAGCTATGCCAACTATCTTAATGTGAGAAAATATGTATATAGTGATATGACTATGCAAAATATTGTAATATAATCTTCCAAATACAACATATATCCAATAGAATTGAAATTTTAAAAATTAAGATTATTTTGATGTCCACTCATAAAACGATTAGATCACAAGCACAAGCTAAACTTATAAAGTTTAACAATGTTGGAAAACACTAATACCTTTACAAAATTTTGAATACTGAAATTACAAAAATTATAGAATGACACATTAAAATATTCAAAATACTGAAATAAAATTGATTAATGTTGATAAAAAGATGTAACTCGCCCGCACAACGTGCGGGTTCAATGCTAGTATATATTAAAACAGTTTAGAAAAAAAAACGGGCCTTCCCACGACAAAATTCTAAGTCAGTTTCCGTAATATTTTTTTAAAACTTTTTTGTTGTTATCAATTGACTTATACGTTTTAAACTCTTATCCTTCGAACCAACAATTTTGCATGTGTCAAACTTTTAAATCTCCTTAACTTTTTACTCAAGATGTGGGCACGTTCGGTTTAGAAAAAAGAGAGAAAAGAGACGTGTGCAAGTTTCTATTGTTGCACACTTAAATTACATTATTTTAACAATAATTTTTTAAATTCGAACATAAAATCATTTATCAAAACCTCTAATTTATTATAAGGATTGTAAAAACATCTACCTTGTATTGAAAAATCAACGGTAGAGTATTTGTATTAAGATTATGGTTCATCATGGATCAACCATATCATAACGTTAAAAACTTACCGGTTTAGCTTCTGATAAAAGCTTTTGTAGGTAAGTCGCCATATGTTACGGTTTCATAAACTAATTTATCATCGAAATAACATATAAGCATATATAATTCATAACTTATATTATTCAAGATGGTGTATTTGGTTGTCTTCCATCATTAAAAAAAATATATATTTCAGTATTTTGATTGATGTTAGTTGAAACATCTATTATTGGTATTTTTGTTGAAACAATCATTGATTTTTGTACATTATAAAATAATAAACCTGAATATTCAGTTGACAAATCATTACATACGAAGTTAAATTGAAAAAAAAAATTCACAATATCTAGATTAAAACTTGATATCCCACAAATCGTATCGGACTTCGTTTTTTTATTCTCTAAATAAGATGAACATGTATATATGGTAGGCTTAATCACAAGCCAATATACACCAAATAGAATTTGAATGTCTAACTTATAAATGTGTCTTGTGTAAATCAAAATTATTAATTAAATGTTGATTGCTTAATTTTTGAAATAAACAGTTGCTTAGTTAATTATTATCTCATAAACATATAATAAGAGACCACAAGTATGTTCTTGAAAATGATTAGTAAAAAAAATAAATGACTTGAAAACTTAAAATACTTATTTGATTAAGACGTGAAATTTTTTACCCTTACCCGGCCAACGGATCAAAGCTAGTAATTTATAAACTCCATGAGTGATCCAATTTAACTAATGGGCTCAAGACTCATGGCCCGTGATCCCCTCCCGTACCTTGAAGTGAACAAAAAGAGATGGTTCAATTTGGACAGCCCGACAGGCTACGCAGGCCAAGTGCCACCAGCCCGTAATCCTTCCACTGCCTGGAGAGGGAGGTGATCGCTGCTCTGTGAAGCCAGCCTAGCGCATTTCCCTCCATTCTAGGAGGCCATGAAGCCTCGATCTTCATCAAGACTCCCTGGCCCAACTCCAGGCTTGGAATGGGCAAGCCAGAGATCTGACAACTTTGAACCCAACCTTCGAGGCTGGCCCAACTTCCCATCCCATTGATGCCTCCACTTGGATCACAAGCTCTCGTTACAAAGCTCGGCGATGGTGCTAGACATGAAATAAGAATATAAACGGCATTTGCATTTGTAGTTTCTGTAATGTGGTAATGTTAAAGTCTCAAACTTTGAAGTCACACAGGTTGCTTCTTTGGCTAATGGTGTCCTCTCGCTCGTCCCTTAGCCGCCGCACCTGTTGGCTCCTTGCCTTACTGGTTGGTGAGTTTAACATCTGGTTGTTGGCGGCGCGCGCGTACCTGTTTGATGAAATGAGTTTACCTCTGTTCATGATTCTCAGCAGCTTCTGTGTTTGGAATGCTTGTGTTTGCCGATGCAAGATAGCTGCTTTTTTGCTTGTTTGATTGAATGGTTTCACTTTTGGACGCCGCTAGTGACATCTTCCAGCTTTGAAATGAGTAATAAGACTTCAATTCCCTTCTCTGTTATGTGTTTCTGGTGTAAAGTTACGTTCTTTACCGATGATTGCTACCTACACATTTGCTGAAAACACACCTGTAAATTTGGGGGTTTTGCTGCTCGGGTTTGCCCTTTGCACTGCTGCTAACAGACCTGTACAACAGTCACGATTCTCACATTCCTCTTCGCCTCTGCCTTAGACTGGACACTTTGCCCCGCAATTGCATTGCTCGGAATCTGCTATGCAATTCATTCGGGGGCATTATCATGATCCCAACTTTTCGAAGCTTTTCGGTATAAAGCACTAACTGTATCTCCCAACTCAATCATATACGAGTCATCATTTTTTTTTTAATATGTGACCCGTAAATCGTAATGACCTGACTTGCAATGTGATGAAGCAATGGGCACAGAGTCATGTCATTTCTGTTTTAGCATTAGCTTCTCTATATATATGTGCAATATGTTCCCTGGGTTAAGCAATGCTCAACAGTTAGGTCTCAGTTACAGACAGGATCTATCAGATTCCACAGTCTAAGACATTGTGCCCAGACTGGTACCATCTAGCTTATAGCTTAGGCGGGTCATCTACACAAAAAGAAAATACAAGAGAGCCCGGAAACAAACAACACTACTATCAGCATTAGCATATCTACCAGTTGATCAAATACCTACAAGCTTCAGTAATGGAGATGAAGACCCGGCTGGTTTCTTGTGATAAACATAGCCATGAAGATCTCTATCCTGGTGTTAAAATTGGTCAGCCAGTCTTTTCATAGTACATAACCTTCATGTTTAAGGTACCATAGTGCGGCCTCTGCTGCGCTCTCGGCTGCAACTTTCTTCCTGGTATGAGAATTCCCAAAACACTCCAACGTCATGCTCTGTGAGTCTTCCATTTCCACCGTGACCTTGAAAACAAAACTGTGGAACCAGATTGTGGATTCAGAATTTGACAAATGCGAGTGATGATGGGAGTTGGATAAAGAAAGGATGGTCTGCTGATAGGTGGGTGTGATCACATGAAGCATTGATCAGCTTCCCTCAAAGGATTCAGCATATTGAGTATTGAGTGAGATGTTCTACTCAATTCAAGAACATCAAGATTCACACCTCCAAATACATGAATAAAGGAACTTACGACTTCAAGTGGCTTGGTCCTTCTTCAAAGCAGCAATCGAACAAAGGAGGGTTCCAACAGTTTGCAGTGCATGCTTCATATAATCTCGTTCTTGCTGATCGTTGGTGGATAACAGCTGAGGAAGGTTTCCATCTAAAAAGTAAAAATTCTACAATATCTATGATAAAACTTGCAGCGTCACTATCGATTTACTAACCTGATGCCCGTAATGCTATTGAAGGTTGGGATTTTGTGCTGGAAGAACTCGAACAAGGTGGTGGTGTACGATCACCAACTCTTTTGAGTGAATAATGCTGGGGATCATAGACACGCCCTCTGGGTTCATAGGCATCAGCAGTGGCAATGTCGACAGGAGTTTCATCAAATCCTATCAACTTGGCCTCTTCCTTGTTACTATGCTTCAAAACTTGCTCAAGAGAGTTGGACTTTTGACCGTGACCCTGAGCCTGCAACATAAGAAAAGTGATTTCGTTTATTAGATTCCAAAAGGTGCGTTTGTTGCCAGCTAAAATAGAGTTACTTAAAATTAAGTTGACTGAAAAGCAGCAACAAATGTGCTCCCTCAATGATAAATTTTCTAAAAATACTATTTCCCTTAACCTACAAATTATTAAAAGTTAACTTAAAAGCCACCTATAAGCAACCCTGACAAGGAGTTCTATACCAACTTCAATCCTTCAAATATACAATAATGACAACACAACGAGAAGGACAAAAGGTCATAACTATGCCCTTCAACATGTAAGGTTGATAGGTTTTAGCTCAACTAACTTGTGATGCTAATCAAAACACCACTGGTGACAAGAAGTCCACAAAACATGCCTTACCCTTAAATTCGCAAATACTTTCTGGGACGCAATCATCGTGGCTTCTTTCTTGTTTGAGTAGCATGCAGAGGCTGATAGAGACACATCTTTACTGCTCACTTTGGCTTCAACTGAGAAGGCTCTTCCTTTCTTTGATGATTCAAACTCCAAAACCCAGTTGTACGACTGGCATAATTCTCGCAACTCCCTAACATAGTTGAGCTTCAGGTTGGGACACTTCATAATAGGGTCCAAAAATGATAGTACTAACTTCCAGACGTGGTTCAGATCAAACCCCGTGTCAAGAAGGATGGCACCCATACAAGATTCAACTACATCACCAAGTGCCTGAAACAAAGAAATCACATCAACAATTGAATATTCCTTTCAGGTAAAAGACATAATTATGTCGGTTGAATTCGTTCTTTATTTTCTTTTCAATCGGAAAGTTCTGATTTTATGCAGGCTGTGAAGTTCCATGTCGTATCAATTATCAACTGTGAGAAAAACAATAGGATTAAGGTTTTCCGGGGTAACCTTGGGACATCTTGGCCCTTCACGAAAACCTCCTTCTTTAGCAGGTGCTTGAACAAAGTCCACATAAGCTTCTATGGCCTCAGAGAGGGCACTGGAATCACTAATAAGAAACTTGTGGAAAGATCGAGCAACTGCAACATTGGCAAAAGCCCTATTGTTGACCAATGCTGATCTAAGATCCGTCAAGTGCCCAGGCTTCATCTTTGGATAAACTGAGAACAAATATGAGGTGATAAGGTAATCCATGACAGCATCTCCGAGAAATTCCAGTCTCTGGGCGTATAATCAAAGTGTTAGAAAATTGCAGTAGACCACAAAAAATACTGAGCGGGGTACTCCATAAGAAAGATTATTTTTTTCCCGATCAACATTTGTTTAATTTAAGTAAAAATATTTTGAGTTCAAAATCGAAACAAACACTGAATAATCAATATCATTTCCAACTTGTGGACCACTGAATTATAAATATCCAACAGACACCTGAATAATAAATATCATTTCCAACTTCGTTTCTTTTGAGTAAAAATCTAACTCAAAGTTATACCTTTCATAATGATTTCTCAAATCCAAAAAAATTCTTATTATTACTAAACAAACCATCTAAAGTACCATCACTACTTTTTTATTACTAAAAAAATATTTCATATCTTTTCTAAAACCTCACCAAACACATTGTATCTGCACTTTCACCAAGTACTTAGCCAAGACTAAAACCAGCACACCCAAAGAATTGATTAGACATATGATTACTAGTGTTTATGGTAGGAAGAAAGGACACTTACCTGATAGCAGCCTCCTCCATGCTTGTTGTAAGAAGGATGAAGAAACGCTTGTAGAAGCAGGCCTTTGTGATGAAAGGAATACCCTAGTGAGTTCTCAAGAGCAGCAATGTTCACAGAAGCAGCAAGTGGCATGTACCGAATGCTTGCAGCACAAATTTCAGTAACTTGGGATTCTCCGAATTCAACTTTAATGCCAATCCATCTAAGGAAAGCAGCTGCAGCTTTGAATCCACTATCGACTATAAACCCTCCAACAAGAGCTTCAACTGCATCAGCCATTGTTTTCTTGTGCAGCCAATGATGATTTTTACTGCATCTCATTTCACTATTGGGATTATCTACTGAGGACCTAGATACATTATGAACAGCTGCTTCTGATTCCTCGGTGCAAATTACTTTGCAAGGATGGCCCAGAGCAAAAAATTGAAATGGATCAAATGGCTGATCACGTATATACACCTAAAGAGAAAATGCAGAATCCACCATTTAGACCACCAGTGACTACAACGTTTTGTGCAAAATGTATGAATTCAACCTAACACAGGATAGTTGTTCAATCAACTCCACAAGAGTGGAAGGGATAACTGCTATCTTCGTCTTATGTGAGTATGTCAAAGACTATAAATTGATTTATTCAATCACGTAGATCGATTCGTTTAAGGCCATTCAAGTTGTCACCTTCACTTTTTCATTTAATAATATATGGTAAAGTCTGCAGCACTCTCTGACAACTACTTGTGCGGATTAACATCCATTTGACTTTCAGATGAGTACTATTGCGATTGCCATGTGAAACTTTCTTTGTTAGAGACAAACAGTAACCAGTATCTATGATCCTGCAGTTCAAGAATTGATTAGTGTACCTGTAAGTTGCTTCTAACTGCTAACTTGAACAGATTGGAATTATTAACTGCATTAGATCTTTTGTTGGTCAGCTCCCCCTCATCAAGAAGATCGTCCATTAGAAAAAGGCGCCGACCAACAGCAAATTTGAGAAATGCATCACCAAGAATTTCCAGTCGTTCTAGAGAAAGGCGTTCTTGGCAATTTTCTGTGGTGAGCGCTTCCAGGACCTGCATGCAAAAGCAATGGTCATAGAAAATTACTATAACGTGAGTTGAATTGCTAGGGAATCTAATAATCGAAGCATGCTGTGGACAGCAGGGCCTTACTCTATTGGCAGTGATTTCAGCTCCCTCGGAAAATGAAGCAGATAATAAGCCCTTCAGTTCAATGGCCACAAGCAAGTTCTGAAGACGATGCATGATTGACGGTAACAGAGATATTGAACTCCCAATATCTTTAGAAAAACCAACAATCTTCAACTCGCAGAGCTCTGGAGCCAAATCAATGAAGTACTCATCTAGTTCCAAATATTCTGTTCACAACATGTTTGCAATGAAATTGACATTAGAAGAGCCAACTCCATAGTCCTCAGGTCCACATTTTACAAAGGAATAGAACAACATCCCATCAGTACAAAGGAATAGAACAACATCCCATCAGAAAACAGACAGAAGAAAGACAACAGACGAGCACAAACTCAGGAGAAGAAACATGAGAAATTGAATAGTCCCAATGCATTTAAAACGAATCCTAGCCCACACCTTGCGGTGTCTTTATCCTGCTAGTCAGGATAAATTATAACTTACACACAGCCAATTATAGTGGTTTTGCTTGCTATGTCACCATTGAGACTTGCTTCTAGTTTTAATGCTCAAGCAGCAAAGCTAAGATGTCAAGCAAGACTACTAATGTGCCTTCCTGTAGGTACTTTTTGTAGGCATGTCTAAGCACAGCCATCTCTTTAGAGATCACATCACACAATGAAACTCTTTGTCTTTTATAGGAGAAAAATACATGGTCTCTGCTGATTTACTATGCATAGACTGAACCTGGCATATCTGTTCCATTTGGGAAATCCTATAATTGTACGCAACAACACATATTTGACATGGGAGATTGGTGACTTCAATGCTAAACCTAGGAACAGTGGCTGAAAGGACTAAAATATGGTTCCAAAAAAACAAAATGGCTTGGCACTAGATCATTCCTAAGTGAACTTTCCAGAGGCCATGTAATCAAATATGCTGAGAATCACAGAAGCCAACAGACAACCAGAATGAAAAAGCAAGAGGGAATATATCAATTAAAGAATACCTGATTTTTCTTTTATTCGATTGTGTAGCAAGTTGTGCAACTGAAACAGTGGTTTTGCACGTAGAAGTGGCTGTTTAGGATACTTCAGATCGATGTTATTCCTAACATAGATAAAACGATCAACTTGTTAACATAAACAATTTCACATAGCAAAAGGTATGTTGATGCAGAATTGCAAGTACGCCCCTGAGAGATTAAATGCTTTGTTTGATTGCACAACAGTAATGTTTTCCTGAAATTCAGACACTTACGTTGTAGTCAAGTGCTCCATATGGCTGGGAGGTTCTGAACCTTTATGTGGGCTGAAACCATTCTTTCCAGGAATGACGTTGGTAATAAAGTAAAATATTTTCTTATATGGAGCATAGACTAAACTATTTTCTACATCCGTTATCTTTTTACGACCATTAGCTAGTAGCAAATGAGTGTCAGAGATAGGATCTTCCTCCACTTTCATATCACCAGGACTTCTGAAAACGGGAGATGATAAACATGTTTTGATGATATCCCAATCAACCAACACTTCATTTGCACAACCATCCAAAATGACGGGAAGTAGTAAGTAGAAAGTTGGGCTTGATTTAGAGAAACCATTCTTTCCCAAATGAACAAATCCAGAAGTAAGTTCAGAACGGTCGAGAATGACTTTGAAAAACATTTCTTGGAAATTCTGTGCCTGCACAATCTGTGCAGAAAAACATAGTAAGTACTAGGGAAGTTATGTACTTTAAATTCAGCCACAAAATGCTAATGTTTACCTCATCTCTATTAAAGGCTGACATTCTGGATGGGACAAGCTTTGTTGCAACATATCTGCCACGGGCCAAATGCAGATCAAGTTCCATGCTTGCAGCATCTAGCGGTAAAGGTGTCTTGACAAAAAGACCAAACTTCTTATAGGTACGATCCTCTGGAACTGGATGGAATTCTATATAATAAGAGCTCAGAAGGACAACATCATCAGTACTTGTCCATGATTCCTTCAGGATTGTGGGGATAAGCATCTCATGAAGTTCTCGGGATCCCTGCTCTGCCAAGAAGTAAAGAAACCATTATTATTGAAATGGCAGATAAACATAGAGAAAAAGCAAGTCGGCTATTATATGAGACTAAAACCTTCGGGCTCAATGCAGTCTTCCTCTGCTAATTCTTCCTCTAAACTCCCTCGCTCGGGCAAAAGAAAATTGTTTAATGCACCGAGCTTATGTAACTGTTCAATGGCTTTCAGACAAGCATCCTTTTTTGCAGCTTCCATACAAGAATGTGGCACACTGATTATTTGATGTAGGGGAGCATTGGAAGGCAAGATAATCTGACATACAGTACCCTCCAAGTCATTCAAATAGTAAAATTCTGGCTTAGGGTCAAAGAACCTGAAAACATGATTCATTACATGGGGTTACTCACTGTGCAACAAACCATTAAAACCTTTCAAAGAAAGAAGCGCGGAACCCAAAGAGAACAATGCATACTCATCACGAGGGAGTTTTGCACAGTAGTGATAGAGCAATGAAATACTGTATCCAGAACTGATGCAAGCACCGGATGTTTCTACTTTGTATACACTTTCCTCAGGACTATCAAATTTCTCATCAGTTGTTCTGCAAGAGATTTCGATGTTCATCCTTTGTTCATCTTCCTGGAAGCTTTCTATTAAGTCTCGCTCATTTTGGTTGTCACTGAAATATAAAGGGAAAAACCTGTGTCAGAGATGCAGGTGGAAAAGAAATAACATATGATACAAGGGAAATGTTGGTGGAGCACCTGTTCACCAAAAATGCATATTCAGACTGGGGCATTCGAGCACGACCTCTTGATTGTATGAAGCTCGCGACAGTTTCTGGAAGGTCAAAACGGATTACGAGGCAACACGTCTGAATGTCAAGTCCTTCTTCGCCTACTTTAGTTGCAACCAACAAATTCAACTGCGAAATAGATACAGGCAAGTCTTAAATGCTAGTCCAATTTAGCAATCAGGTCTATGATGATGCATACTGGATGTTACTCCATACAATTGATAAGTACCTACTTTTATGAGTGCCTGTTGCTGATGTGATAAGTCAACAAAGCAAAGTCACTCTCCCATAAAATTCAAGTTTCTACCAACCAGATGGTGGCAAAGGATAACTGACAGCATGTTTATATGCCCCAGCTCTAGAGTGAACAGCCAATTTAGCTTATCAATACGTTCACTGCCATTATGAACTTATTCCTCCCTAATCATTTCAATTACTTTTTTAATGAGATTCAATAAATTCTTATTGCCTCTCAACTTAGAAGTGAGGTTTCCTTGACATGCATATCTTACTCATTGTGCTTGATATCTATGAAATTACTGTAAGAAAATGATCGAGTGTGGATACTAAAGATGCAAAGTATTACCTTTCCGGTGCGGAACTGCTCCAGAATGTTGTTCATTGTTTTTCGGGACATACTCTTCAATCCAGAATGGACCCCAACTAGAAAGCCACACTTCCAAGAGGGTAAGTTTTTAAGATTTTGCAGTATGTAAGACAAGGATCTTGCTGTGACAATCCTATTGACAAAGATGATACACTTCATATCACGCTGCAACCTGAACATGGAAAATTTGAAATTATCAGTAAACTCTGGGAGTTCCATCATATACCAGACAGATAATAGCATGGTGGAGTCAGAAAGGAGACTCAGATTGTTCTGTGTTCGCAATAGTTCAATCCATCAGTTCTAAAAGAAACTACTGCCAACCCAATCAAGCATATTCAAAGTAGATATTACATTTAAGAGGCATTCAACAGGAACAGAAATGAACCCATAATTTCCTTTGCTGAGGACAAAGGAGAGAAGCTATATACTCCCAGGAGCATATTCGTCTTTTATACCAAACATCCACTTAACTACATAAAAACATGTGAGGACTACAGACCTTACATTCTATAAGTAACAAGAACCAACAGGTATCATTTTTTCCTATACTTCTTTGCATACCTGAATTCAGAAAGAATTCCAATAAGCCGTAAAAGCTTTGCTGAGAAGAATGGCTCCCTTAAAACCTCCGTGGATGATACATCACATGCAATGCCATCTAGAATAATGCAAAGAAAGATTCACATCAAATCACAAGAAAATAATAAACAAATAAATAAATAAAGATTCACATCAATGCCATCTTAATTGTATGGATAAAATCGACTAAGCTTTAGTTAAAGTCTCAATAATCAGACATTGTGCACTAATGCTAACAAAACGATACAGCTGAAGTAGAGGCAGTACTTAGACAAAGAAACTGACTTCACATGTTGAAGAAAACCAAAAGTGGATCGTTTGAGCTGGTACAGAACTGATTTAGTCATACTAATAGAGGGAGAACAAGATGCATATAGAGACATCGGTCACAAACACATCACAGTGGCAGTTAAGATGGGTTATCATGCGTAGGAGAAGACACAGAAGTTTACCAACTGTGCAGTTGGCAGAGATTACGTTTGCAGCTTCAGCTAGATATTTATCACGCACAGAGCCATCACTGAGCATTCCTTCTGCTTCCATCAATGCATTCCACTCTGATTGGTCACCACTCAAAAGAACTTGGGAAGCCTGAAGGACAATTCAAGAGGATACATAAGGAAGGAACATTCATGATACTGAATAGCAATGCAGTAAATCTTGCAAAGAGCTAGCAACCAGAGGTTCTCCTTTGATGGAAGAACAATATCATGGTGCTTTTTGCCCCCTCCCTCCAAAAAAAAAAAAAACAAAATAATTAAAATCATTGTCTTCCTATCCAACTCACGGACATGTGTATAGACTTCACCCAACCCCACCTCCCAATACAAAATCATTTGAATTATACTAAGAATATAACATCTAAACCAGAAAAGAGGATTTGCTGTATATCGTAATTGCTGGAATGGTTTTAGACACTCAAGGAAACATATAAGACACCTCATTCAAAAAAAAAATTAGGCATCTCCTTGTCCCCACAATAATATAGATAAAAAGCATATAATATTTGCATTTCTCATGAAGAGAGGAAAAGATAAGCCCCACTATGTCAGGAATCCAACAGTACCCATAATCAGTCTCTGCATGATTGCATAGATGGCAAGACGATGAAAAAAGAATAAATACAGCAGCAAAGAGCTCCAAATAGTGGTTAGTCCAAGGAAAGGTGTAAATTGGACACTTAAGCTTACTTGTAGAGCTCCAAAGAGGCCAAGGTTTTCCAAACAAAATAGCATGTTATCATGCACTCTGTGGAGGAACCTTTTGGTGCTTTGAAAACTTTCAAGACTGGTGCGGTAGTCTGGCTTCTTCCTAAGTTCTAATATGCACTGCTCAAACCACACAGAGAAATCAAATGACAGTTTGATTAATGTTTGTAAAAGGAACAAAAGAAGAAAAGAAAATTAAGACAAGTAGCAAGAGCACACCTGACGCATAACTTCCCCAAGTCTAGTGGCACATCTCTCGTGAGAGGGCAATACCCGATACAAATATATTCTAACAGTAGGATTAGCGACATAACGATCCAATTCTTCCTTATTTTCTACTGAATAAACCTGCAAATGAAAGGTTGGGTAAGGTCAGAATGACCACCAGCCACATAAACCAAACCAATAAATATTAAAGCCGAAAAAGTAGCAGTTCCATCCTTTCTTGTTCAGTTTGCAACTTGGAGATGTTATCTGTATGCAGAGTTTAGGGCTCTGGCAACACAAACCACTACTTTATATATGGAACTTGAAGATTCAGAATGTTAAAGACTGATTTTTTGTGGTTTTCACTTCTTAGAACCTTAATGTCTTGAGGTGATCATTAACCAGTACCAGATGGCTCTTCTCCTTAAGGAATTATAAAACCTTGGTAATTCAGTTAATTGCGACTCTGGAAAACCTACCTTACAATTCAATAATGATTCAAGACTATTGATGCTCTTTGATAAATTTTCTTGACTAGAAGCGCCTGAGAGAGAGCATGAGCATACAAGAAGGTCAGGAGATAGTGAAAGGAAGAGGGCCAATTTAGTTCAGCAATAACAGATAAGCACACAAGCAAGAGGTTACAGGCACACAATAATTCCTACAAAATGAAGATTTGAACTGATGAGACAATAGATAGAAGAAAAAAGTACCTTTCCCCACAACTGGTGATGCAGTCATGCCAAATATATGTGGGAGTCTGCCAGTATTGTTGTTATAGAAAACCTATGGCATCATTTTGAAGTTAAAAATCACATCAACTGCTAAAATCGAAAACCAACAACAACTAATACGTCCATGCTTGTCTACCACCAGAAGCATAAATTCAATTAACCATTTACTTTCATAATCTTCGAATATGGATGATCGCTTTTAGCTTGGGCATGATGGCACTCGTCGAATATCAGAAGCGCAATCAGTTCCATCGTGATGAAGCTGTGACTCAAATTGTGCAGCAGAATTTGAGGTGTCATGACAAGAACCTGTGAGTATAAAACAACCAGGATAAAATCAATAGCAGCTTAGATACAAGGATGATCATTATGAACGCCTATTACCAGTTCTGTAATAATAAACCACACGACAGGAGAATTTCAGTACCCTACCTCACAATCTTCAATTTCTTTTTCCCAATCTGAATGGGAATTTGATTTCTGGGAGCTCCCACAATGAATGCCGACCTTGAAATCAACAGAATCTTCAATAACCTTGGCTTGCTGCAAAATGACATCAATTGTACTTCATAAGTCGCCCCCAAACTTGAGCTCACAACTGGTGTGTGCTTCTGGTCCCAGCCATGCCCACAAGTACCATCACTAGCATTAAATCAAAACAGGTGGGACATAGTACCAATAATAGAAGATCGATCAATCTTAAGACCTTACATATCCAAATACTATTACCACAAGATAAAATAAATAAAAAACGAACATTCAGACCAACCCAAATTGAAACATGCAGTTAGAGATTTACAAGAAAACAACACCAATTCACCTGATTCACCAAAGCAACTGTAGGCGCTAGAAAGACACAGACTTTCCTCTGAGGACTCCTGATCAAATGCCCAAATTCATGAATAAGCAGCACCGCAATGTGGGTCTTCCCACAACCTGTCCCCAGCCAGACAATTATGTTCTCCTCCATAGCTTTCTTGCACAGCTCTAGCTGATACCTAAAACCCAACCCAAAGAGAAACTAACCCGTTAGTCCTCTGAGAAAGGGGGGAAAAAAGGTGATCACTTTCACCTCTATTTAGCAGAATCTGACTCCGATTCACCAACCCCAACCAAGAAGCTAACAAACAGCTCAACAAACAAACAAATAACTAGAGCAAACAGTAAACACAAGGACGAAACAGGGAGAAGGAAATGTCGTTACTTTCTAGCGGTTCTTCTAGGATCTTTCGCCGTCCTTTGAACTTCGGCCGGATATTCGACCCCATCCTCGACCGTCAAACCTGAAGAACAAGAAGAAGAAGCAGAGGTGGTGGTGGACATGGATGCTGGAGTTGGGGAAACAGAGACTACACGACAGGAGGAGGTTTCTCCGTCCGGCATCACGTAAACTAGCCGGCCGGCGATGAATGACAAGGTGGGTACCGGATGATTTTGACTGATCGGACCGTTTGAGAGCTGTGAGGGATTCGCAGAGTCGGGGGAAGAAAGCGGGAGAAAGAAAAGGCAGGTGAGGGGAAGGTGAAGCAGCAGGGCGGGTCTTTAATTCTGTTTTTAACGGGGAAATTAAAAGAAAACTTCTCTTGTAAGGTGTAAACAAAAGGGCTGCTTACTACTTAGCACTTACTCCGTCAACGATGAGGTCAACGACCACAGTCAGAAAGGGTCACATGCAAATGGAATTTGTGAGTGGTCAAAGATTAAGTATATGAGATGTAGTAGTTCGTGGATGGATCATGGATGAAGTGTAGGTTTAACCTTTGTTAAGTGAATATTATGGGGAAAGTGTAGCTAATCGAGCAGCTCTAGAATCATGTGTACAAGCTCGTAATGATCCACGTGATCTTGCTTGTGAGGGTAATGAGATTATTCATGATGCTAGCAAATGGAATTCTCAAATGGTTGTTGCTTGTGATTGTGTAAGTTTAGTAATTGTATCGTTCAAAACTAAATGAGATCTTGGATTCTAAACAGAGAAAGTCTTCGATTTTTAATTTACCTTAAAGTCTCTCATCACAACTGTCTTCTATGGAAGTAAGTCTGGTTAATTTCATCGACCAAGAATGAAATTTATCAACTTCAACTATATATTTCATCGATCAAAATTTGAAATTTTATCCGAACGGTAAAGTTTCAGTGATTTTATCGATTTAAGTTTAAATTATTGCAATATTCTAGGTTTACAAGATTCTAGGTTTACTAGAATCTTTTTGATGAAATAGAAGACCCGATTCATAAAAAAAAGATTCTTTCATTCAAACGACTCACGAATTGACCTCAATCTTTTTTTTTTCTCTCTCTCTCTCTCGAGAAATCTCAATAAATAACACAACATTATATAGCAAATAGCACCCTCGACTCCATTAACACCCTCAAAACCCAAAGTTTATGAAAACTAGGCTACAAAATCAAAAAGCAAACTCTAAATAATACATCAAATAGGGTTTTGCATGTCACTTTATGAGCAGCCCAATAAGTAATATTAGAAAACACCATCAACTTTACACGAAACCGAAAGAAGAATGAGGAAGTCAAGTGCAGACATTCACATAGTATGGAACTATGGATCACCCTAGCACCTTTTTGGAGTTGGCAGAAGACGACATTCTAAGTCAACCTTGATGATCATGGTGGATATATGTTTTGATTAATTAGAGGTAAAATGGTTGCTTGGCCATCGAGGCGCTATGGAACATAAGGGTTTAAAATACTAAGATAGAGATAGTTTGAAGCCAATCGAACGAGACCATCAGCATCACAAAAATCAAAGAGGTCTACAAAGCAATAACCTCGACAAATCAAAATTTGGGAAATGAGTTGTGTAGACACAAGTTCAAGGAGTGTATGTGTTAGATATCCCATGGATTTGATTAATGTTCATTGTATGATAGAAATTGTGATACAGTGGTTAGAAGTAGTAGCAGATAGTGATTGGAAGTAGTTACAGTAGCACTGATGTCTTGTATCTGAAGTTTTACGAGGAACTTGGTCGTAATTGTGGTCAGGTTAGAGCCTAATAGAATGCAACAACAATTGCTAGAAAAAAAATCTCGACAAACACACAGTTGTCGAATTAAAATTTAAGAAACCAAGTGGGGGATATCAAAGAGCAGCGAGGGTAGAGGAAGAATATGAGCAACACAGGAGGGAAGATAATAGATAAATTCCCGAATTTGGTATGAAATTTGGATAGCTAGAGAATGGACATATGGTTGAGTAAGCTAAACATCATTAATTTACGAGATTCCGAGATCATCCACTCGATACACACATGTGGATGGATATATAATTGGGAGCACAAAAAGTGACTCCAACGATGATTGAAATTGACAGTTGTGATCGAATGAAGAAACTCTTCAAACCGTACTAGTGTGTAGTGTCCATAGGTTGACAGTTAAGGCAGTCCTTTTTAAAAAATCATTCAATGATCTCGTGATGCCTTTGATAGATATGACACTACCAATGCTAAAGGTAAATAAAGAAGCATACATTTTATTGATCTCGTGACAATTGATGATTTACACATATCATAAACAATGACGATCGATAGATAATGAGATACTTATTATGAAAACTATTATGGTTGAACAACTAACATCAATCCATCATCGATCTTACATTTAATCATCAACATTCTACAAAAAAATGATATGACACTAGATGTCATGGATTACTAAAACCAATAATGACCAAGATTTTATGAGATTTTTTTATACAAATAACGCGAGATTCAAATTTCAAAACAAAAAGAGTCGATGTATGTGAAAATGAGATCAATTTAACTTATTTTGCGTTGAGTTTTAACCAAAAATCGCAAAAATACCGCTAATTATAAGTTTAATTTCATCTTGATCTCCTTCGCCACTTAATTGTCAAAGTTCATCAACCTTTTTTTGAGATAATCTCATTTATCTTTTCTCTGTGTATCATAAAAAGTTCAAATGCTATAACGAAATTGAATTGAATCACTTTTTTTTCTTTTTTTTTTCCAAAGGAATTGAATCACTTCAATAAGCACTATTAAAAAGTTACTTTCATGAAATAAACCAAATTAAAAGACAGTACCAACATATTGGGCTTGAACCCAAATAGTAAAATCCAGTCAAGCCCATAAAAGCCAAGTGGCAAAATAGATCAGACCAAGCCCATCCGAAATAAGTGGCCCAATCCAAAATACCGACATTGATCGTTCTCTGCCAATCAGTCGATCCCCACGCCACGCCAGTCATCCTGATGGCGAAAATGCATCAGAGCTCTCTTCCCGCCGGTAAGCCACTCCAGGCAGTTCCACCGCCGGTGGCCACGAAGCCAACGGTGGCTTTCACCACTCCGTCGAACTACGCAACCAGGCTGTCTCGACTCCTCAGTCTCTATTCCTTTACTCCGCTGTGGTGCCCAACCATCGCCACCGAAGCGACCCCAGAAACAATCGCGTCTTTCGGCCACCACCTCTCCGCCGACTCCATTTCTCTCTTCTCGGCCATCGCTTTTCCTTCACGGACCGCAATTGAAGCCGCTTCCGCCGCGTTTCTCTCCCTGGCCACGCCTCTCTTACCTCCCGACGCCGCCGATTCCCTCGTTCTCGCCGCACTAGGCAAGGACGCGGAGCTGCTGGACTCGGAGTTTCTGCTTAAGTTCTGTTCTAATGTCGATAGGGTCAGAGTTCTGGTTCCTACGATTCCTACGCCAAGTGGATTGGTCCAATCGCTGGGGCTGGGGCGCGGCCGGAGAGTGCTGTGTCCGGTTCCTAGGGTGATTGGAGTTCAGGAACCGCCGGTGGTGCCTGATTTCCTCCTGGAGCTGGAGTCCGCCGACTGGAATCCTGTCCGAGTCGATGCTTATGAGACGCGGTGGTTGGGCCCCACCTGCGCGGCGGAGATAGTGGAGGTGGACGAACTGGATGCTGTTATTTTCACGAGTACTGCGGAAGTGGAAGGCTTGCTGAAAAGCTTGAGGGAGCTTGAATGTGATTGGACGACGGTCAGATGCAGGCGGCCGGAACTGGTTGTGGCAGCACATGGTCCGGTGACGGCAGCTGGAGCTAAGAGATTGGGAGTGGACGTTGATGTGGTCAGTGGCAAGTTCGAGAGCTTTGAAGGCGTCGTCAAAGCCCTGCATTCACGCTTCAGAGGTTTGAGCTCTAGATGTTTGTGAAATTGCATGAATGACATTTTTGCTTGAATGATAAAGCTTGGCATTGGATTCACACATCCAATGCTCATTGTCCTGATGGTTGCTTTTTGTTTAAGCTTCACTTGGTTAAGTTCAACTTTCAATTCCAGAAATCATGCTGCCTATTGCATAGCCCACATGAATAAACAGAAAATTCTGAGATCGCTTTTTGATATACCTATTATCGTTTGATACGGACAAACTTGTAGCTATTATATTACAGGGCAACTAAGCAACACCCTGCATATGCTGCAAAGAGATACTCACCCTTTAGTAAACTCGGTATATATCCATCATTACTGCTAATCTTGCTATCTGGAATTAACTATAGTTCAGTTTCTACATATGCTTTTTCCCCCATTCATTTGTTCTGTGGAATTGGCTTTAATAAAATCTTCAGTGCCTCTTCCATGGTTGGCCTGTCGGATGGTCTACTTCTGGTACAGAGTAGAGCAACTTCAAGAACTTGTTTTATCTCCCTTTTAGTTGAATCCAGAGTGCAAGATTCATTCTCACTGTACATTGCTCTCAAGAGTACTTCTGTAGGCTTGTTCTGTGTACCCCATCCAGCTTTAGCATGTCCACCATTGCTCAAGATCTCCAAAACTATCTCTCCAAAGCTATATATATCACCGTAGAGATCCTCCTTAACGGCACCATTCACTTTGCCTGTTAAGCATATAAAAATTAGTTCAAGAGGACTCTTAAGATAACTCTTTTAACTTCTTTCTAATCTAAGAGTCAAATAATACTGCTGTTCTTGATTTAAGGAACAGTTCTACGAGAATCTTACTGTGATCCTATGTCTACTTGTCTGGTGTTTGTAGAGGACAAACAACAACTTTCTGGATTGTAATTTTGTGATACTTGGCATATAAAAGGTGGAAGCCAGAGTGTTTCCAAAACATTTTTGCATCGTATGACTTTTGATTGAAGGTCTGTTTTGTCTGACTTTTGATTAAATACCGTCCTAAGTCTTAACATGGGATGTATGAAGTTTACCTGTCTCTTTCCTGGATACTGTTGCCGGAGTGCCACTACTGATTTCTGCCAGGTACTTGAACCCGAACTCCGCTAAACGGGGCTCCATGTTTTCGTCGAAGACTACATTACTCGACTTCAGATCTCCATGAGGAATCGCAGGGTAACAATCGTGGTGAAGAAAGGAAAGCCCCCTAGCAATCCCAATTATGAGTTTCCTCTTGGTTGCCCAATCTCTCTTCATGGCCACCTTCTCAGTCAAATTCCCATTTGGCAAGTGATCACACAAAAGGTAAGCTAGTTGCTTGTTGTAGCAAGCTCCAAGCAATCTGACCAAATTCTTGTGCCTAGCATTCCCAATTTGCATTATCAATTCCATGCTGGCATTCATTGTCTTTGCCTCCAGCTCAACCTTTTTAGCTGAAACTGTTATTCCTGTTGGCAGAACTGCTTGGCAAACTGAAGCTGATGATGGAGGCAATTCCTTCAGAATATCGCTTGCAGTGAACTGAGGGAGTCCGGCAAAGGGTATCATCTTCCATTCACCTTTGCCTTCTCTCCTGATGTAGAATACCCCCAATACCGAGGCCAAGACTAATACAACCACAGCTAACAGAACCCATGTAAGCTTCCTTGTTCCTCTGCCCCCGAATGTCGTCATCGAACCAGGGCATGGGTGGAGAGGTGCTCCACATAGTTTTGGGTTTCCCGCATAAGCACTGCTTCCCATTGCTCTAAACATGGCGGTGGAAGGAATCGAACCAGAAATATCATTAAAGGATACATTTAGAAGTACTAGAGTTGAAGAATCACCAAGCTTTTCCGGTATTTTCCCGCTCAAGTTATTATGCGCGAGGTCCATCTGGACAAGAGCTCCACAGTTGGAAACACTTTCAGGGATGCTTCCTTGGAGCTTGTTCACTCCTAACTCGACGAAAGAAATGGATGTGCAGGACTCGACTGGTGGAAGAGCCCCTGAGACATTACAATTCGAGGCAGATAAGTTTTGAAGAACCGGTGACGACCATATTCCCAAAGGAAGTTTACCTCCAAGGGCTGGATTATCAGTAATGTTAAAGTACTGCAGGTTAGGAGCTTGAGAAATGTCTCTGGGAATTCCGCCTGTGAAATTGTTTAACGAAAGATCGACATATGTGATCTCAGGAAGTTGGCTAAACTTCAGAGGAATTTCCCCTGAGAAGGCATTGTCTTCTAGTCTTAGACGAACGAGGGAAGAGCAGTTGGACATTGATGGTTCAAGGCTTCCTGTAAATTTGTTTGAGAAAAGGATCAACTTGAACAGAGAATTTCCAGCACAAATGCCTTCTGGAATTCCACCAACGAAATTGTTAGTTGAAACATCCACCCATTGGAGGTTTGAGTTCTTCCCCAAGTCCTCTGGAAGAGGACCTGAAAAGAAATTATTCCATATGAGAAAAGTTTCCAGTGAAGGAAGCTTTGAGATCCCTTCTGGGACACTTCCATTCATATCATTATACATGAGACTAAGCAGCTTCAAGTTCTTCAGCTCTGAAAAACTCTCAGGTATGGGCCCAGAAAGCTGATTATCAGAAAGATCCAAGCTAGCTAGAGGCAAAATTCTGCTGAATTCCCATGGAATTGGTCCACTCAGCTGGTTCCTGAAGAGGAACAACGACTCAAGCTTGGTTAGATTAGAGAGTTGACCTGGAATGTAGCCAGTTAGATTCGCCCCTGCTATATCCAGATACTGAAGCTCACTCATGTTACCGAACTCCCATGGAATACTCCCCTGGTAAGAATTGTATCCTATCTCTATATGTGTCACCGTTTTAAGCTTCCCGAGTTCGGGTGGGATTTCCCCATTAAGGGAGTTACCCGCCAGGTGGATAAACTCGAGACTCTTGAATGAACCATACTCTGCCGGGATGGCGCCACTGAAATAACTTCCGGCGAGATTCAAAATCTTGAGATTCTGAAGCTGGGAAACTTCAACGGGCAGCTGCCCTGAAAAGCTGTTGCTGAAGGCATCGAGCACAACCAGATTCTGGAGACGGGAAATCCCACTTGGAAACTGACTGGAGAAATTGTTCCTGCTTACATCCAAGCTTTTTAGCCCCGTGAGGTTGAAGATTCCCGCCGGTAGCTGGCCGGAGAACGAGTTGCAACTGAGGTTGAGCTCCACAAGGTCTGTGAAGATTCCAAACTGATTCCCAGACAATGCATTTCCTCCCAGCTTCTTCAAAGACAGGTCCAAAGCTTCCACCTTTGTCGAGTTATCGTTGCATTTCACTCCTGACCATGAGCATGCATAGACTTTCTCTGGTGGGGTTTCTCCAGAAGGCTCTAACCAATCACTCAGGCTACCGTCGTGGTCTGTGAACTCGGATTTTAAGCTCAGGAGGGCTTCTGAGTGAGGATCGATACCAAGAACGAGTGATGTGCAGAACAAGGCAGTGACGAAGAAGAAGAATTTCAATTGGAGATGGCGGACGACCTCCATGGAGACTCACAGTGGAGAGAAGGAAGAAAATCTGTCAGTTTAAAGTAAGTTCTTCTCCTTCACTCTCTGTTTTTGTTTATTTTGAGTCTATTCATTCATGTTGAATGAGAGGTGCATGGGGACTAGAGAGAAGAGAGAGAGAGAGCAGTGAAAGGGAATGACGTATGGGGATTAGTTGGGTATTTGAGAAATTATTGAGCTGCTTTTGGGAGCAAGGAAGGGCCCCTTATTAAGAAGAGGGGTTTTGTAATCGCGGATGGTGTTTGGCCGGTATCTTTGAAGAGTCCCTTTCCTGCTTTATACTAGAGAAATTATTTTCTTGCCAACTTTAGAAGATTGGGTTTAAATTTTAGAAAGAGGAGTAAAAGACAAAGGGTTAGGAACCTAATCCTCCATATCTATTGTTATTTTACTTTGGATGATAAAAGGGGACGGCAGTATATTTCCTATATCTTTGCCCCCAGTGGTCGGACGGCTTTGGATTTAATCGAGTTTGGAGGAGGTGGAATCTTTGTCTTGCCTTGCAAGGATTGACATTTGACATAAATATTGGAAGGTGGCAATAGGCATTCCAGATGGAAGCTGATGGTATAGCAAGCCAAATCCTTCAACTGTGGACGAATGTAGCTTCATGGTAGACTATAAAAAAGAAGAATCTAACTTCCTCTTACTATTTTACTTTGGATTTGATTGGGGAGGCGGTCAAAGCAAGAAAAAGAGAAGAAGAAAAATTGTCTGTCAGCTGTAGTGTAGCCGTTGGATTTACTTTCAGAACCAAAGGGTGAAAAAACAGTGCTTGAGATATCATATTTGGTATCCGTTGGTCAGCTGCATACTATAGACCAAGCCAATAGAGTCTTATTATGTGTTTCATCGTTTTCTTACGGTTTTTTTATTAAGCTCTTGAATCGTTCGTCTCACTGGTTTGATTTATGATGCAGTTAAGGGAGGATGACCATCGCTGATGGAAAGTGTTCAAAGTGGAAATTGGAGCTGCACCTCTCTCTCTCTCGTCTTTATCTACCCAAACCCAACAGTAGACTGAACTACTGAAGCTGGGCAGGGAAGCAAGCAAGGAAATCAGGTAACTTTCCCTATTTTGGACTATCTATTTGTACGTATTTGTGGACAGAGCAAACTTCACATAAACAAACAAAGTAGTGAAAAGATTGAGAAACAGAGTAAAGCCAAGAGATGTGTTAGAAAATGAACTCTCTTTTCACCAGCTTTCATTTTATGAACTTAAACACCCTTTTGTGCCTGGGAAGCCACTTGGGAGAAGAATAATTAACAGTGATTCAACGTCTATAATGCAGGCAATTTAACAGGGGAATTTGCTGAGTGTAGTGGGCGTCAAGGGATAATGCTTTGGAGGCTGCAGGAGGAGCAAAAAGAAAAAGGTGAGGAATTTGATTCCGAGCACTAAGCCTTTTCCTTTTTAATAAATCTGCTGCTCTTTTTTACGCAAAAAAGTAGACAATTACCAATGTGGAGGATTTGTCTTGTACACTGGATGACAAATACTAATTGAGTAATTTCACACAAGAATATTATATCCAATCTTCCCTAACTGCTTTTTCAGTCCCAGTAACAAGTTCCACTTGGAGTTGGTTTCCCTCTACCTTGCCGAATTTCCACTTGGAGCTCGAGGTTCATTAGGGTAAAATCTACTTAGAACCTCTTGAGGAAAACCAGGAAGTTTTAGTCATTGCATTAGGGAAAGATTTGAATGTTGGAGTTGCTATGGTTTGGAATCTTGGATCTAGTAGTGTTGCAGTGGCCATATGCAGGGGTACTTAGCTTAGAACAGGAACTCATTTTGGTTCTTTCTCCTTTCTAATAGATTTCTTTAGATTTGGATTCTCCTCTTTTCGGATGGTAAATATTTCCCAAAATATGATAGATTTAGGACGGTGTTGAACGGGAAACATTGAAGACTCAAACCAATGGCTTTGAAGTCGAGAGGTCTTTCGCTTTATGTATTCATGCATTATAGCCAATTTTGCTAAAATGCTCACAAACCATATGCGAGAACGTTCTCACATGCGCGTTGGGCTGTTGCATCGCGTGGGCGCTCAGTGTCATTGCCAATGCATCCATCCAACGGATGAAGAGTGAGCCCCCCCTGTGCAGTTCAATGACCCAACGCGCTTATGAGAACATTCTCACAGATGGATTGTGTGCACCATAGCCGAGTTGCACTATATCTGACACAATAATCAGCAGAGCTACATGCATCAATCACTACACTGAATGGAACGGCTTCTCTATGTTTTGCTGGATTAGGGTTTTCCTTGTATATAATTCATGCATGGAAGGAGCAGAAAAAAGGGTGATGTGAATATTTATATGCTCACAACTTACATGATAGCATCACGAGGGAGAGGGAGTCACTGCAAGAGTTCCATAGAGAGCCCGTGATGAAATGAATGCTGCAGCAAGAAAAAGAAAGAGAAGAGAAGGGACTTGTCCACATCGGTAAGTTGTCATTACTCGTCAGTACTACTACTTGCTTACAGTACAAAGAAATTATTACTTTGGTTGCACATCATTAACGATTTGAAGTGGTAATATAGGAAGAGACTAGACAGGGAAGGAGTGGAAGATAAAAAGAAAGAGCAAATGCTGATTGTTCGATATTTCACGAGTCGAGAATTGAGATTTCAGTGAATTGGTATTCGACTTCGAGTCATTGGATAGGCCTTTTCAACTATGGAAACTCTAATGTCATCTCTTTTCCCCCATTTGGAACTGGATGTTTCAGAAATGAAGTAGGTTCAACTTCATCTCAAGCATTAAACATGGTCATGGACGTGGATGAAAATACTAGTCCACTGACTATTGATGTGATTTCTGAGTTGTGATCTATGAAAGCGAAGTATGCAAGTCCAGCGAAATGTGGAGCACTAGAGACAAAGCAAACTTCTTTTCGCACTAGGAAGCTTTAGCGTTTATATCCAAGATTATCCCTGACTCCGATGGATACTCCGCAAGCCCATGACATGAGAGCAGCAACTTGAGCTTACAATCTTATCGGTGGTCACCAATGCCACATTATAGAGGCTGGGAAATGTGTGGAAAAAGAAAAGGGCGTGTGATCTTGGGAGGGATGTAATGTAAGAAAGAAATCTCGTTGCTCATCTTTTGAGGTCCAAAAATGATTAACTTTGTTCAGAATGGAGCACAATACTGCACTATTAGTGACACTCTCAAAGATTCCCTCCCCTTTTCCTTTCCCCAAAACAGTCTAAGAAAAGCGAGAGATCATAGACCAATTTGGGCAGTGGGGTAGAGAGCTTATTCTTTTTGATCCATGAATGATATTGGTGGAGTCCCAAACATAGCCTTTAGTCCAATCCCATCCCATCCAGAGTACCAAAATCACAACCTTCAACAACTAAAGTGAAACCCCAATACCAACATTCATTCATCCACACTAAATTCACCAATCTCCCAATTAACTCTCATCACCTCTTCTTTATAGTCTGTAATTGCCTTGACCCAAGGTAGGGCAAAGGGAGAGTGGACAGGACACCACTTCACAGTCCTCAAATGACAACTTTGTACCTAGACCTCCACGGTGTGTATGGTTTTGAATGTGCAAAGAGAGAAGGGTTACATTCGAAAATAGACAGATTCAAAAGGGTATCCCAAATCAATCAAACAAGCAACAAAACATTCATGAACTGAATTGAACATGATGTGACTGAAGGAGTGCAGAAACTAATGTAGCAATGACAAGCCAAAGGGCTGACCAAGGGGCACAGTAGACCGTGAATCGTGCGATAAAGCAGAAGACTTTTTCTGCATGGGCATGTAGTATCAAATATCAATCAATAAAAGACATAACTGGAATTTGTAACTAAAGCAGTTCATCAATACAATCTCTCCCTCTGCAACCCATGGGCATATGCTGTTCAATACTAATTAAATACAAAAAGTGGACTCATTGAGATTACATGATCACCTGAAATACGAACCCCGGGTTGGTCTAGTAACAGGCTCTATGCAATGACAATTGGTTACTTACAGATGTGTTTTTTTCTGTCTATGAGATTCTCAGTATCAAGGAATGCAAGTATATGTTGCTGATCCAAAAAAAAAAAAAAAAACGCATAGATTTTCTCTGAAGATTAGATGTCGTCATTTCCCGGTACACAAGATGGTACAACACATTTGGGAAAGTGAGCCCTTAACTAAGCAGGCAGTGCAAGCTAAACAATCAAAGAGGATTGATGATAAATTGAAAACATCAAACCTCCAAAGTTTCAGCAGTTTCGGGCTTCAGTTTGTTCAGCCTCACGGTACCTAGGACGAACTCTGGCAGCTCGGCCTCTTCCTTCCCCTGCATAATCATTATTGTGTTACCAAATCAGGACATAGAACAGGCAAGAGCATCGAATCCAACATGGAATAAGGACACGGACCTCAACGAGAATGGCAAGATCAACAACTAAGCTTGTAACATATCCGAGAACAAGGCCAATGACACTTCTTGCAACTGATGATGACCCGATATCCACATCGATCTACAGATTTATTAGAAAATGATTAGGACCCAAAACATACACAAAAATATGTACTTCATATTAAGCAATACTACGGCAATGAGATGAATGCTTGTTTGATGAATGGGACTCTCTTTGACGCATAAATTCTCCCAGAACAGTCAGCATATAGGTTGTCTATAAATAAGAAAAACATGAAAAGAATTGAAATTTGATCCCGCTCAAGATTACCTCCAGAAAGTTGTCTTGTCTGAGGTACTTGCAAGTTACAGCTTTGCCCAATAGGCAAGCTTTCGTTCCAACAGCACGTTTCACCATCCAATAACCCTGAGAAAACATCAGGTTCAGAGTAAGTGCCATATAATACCAACCAAGACAAAAAGAGATTAACTCTGCTCAAGCTTTGGGCAATATTCCTATTTTACTACCTCAATGATACTGGGAATTAATTTGAATCTTGAATCTCGAAACATATCTGTCCCATCAATAAACTTCCCCAACAAAGATGCTTTGTTCACAGGCCTATCTGCAGCATAGTAGAGTACCAAACTGTAGTTGGGTTTTGCTGGAATCTGAAATAGTAAAATTGAGTTCAATTAATCTTCTTTGGAACCTCATTGATCCATAAACGTCTGACAAGTTACAATGATGGCATGCATTCCATCACAAGGTAGAGTATGTTTTGGTGACAGCAATTTCAAGAAATAATTTCAATCCTAAGCACATAGCAGACAATCCTATCCACCATTTTTGCAAAATGAGCCACAGATGGTTTATGCTGCAGTAAATATGCACACGTCAAGATGATTTTGGATATTAAGAAAGGTGGGCTAACCAGATACCGAACATGTTGGCTTATCACTGTTAGGATAAGCAAAACTGGTCTTCTATGATACTGTTTCTTACAAAAGAAAAGACATTCTGTGGTAAGCACACCATAAAGTATTTGCATGTAGTACCTGTAGATTAATAACCAGAACGAAAGGAAGCTGCTTCCCAGCTGCTGTCTGCAATGGAAAGGTGAGGTCAGTGGATAAATAACTTCCAGGCTAAAAGAGGATACCTGAGGCATGCACTGATGCACAACCTAAATTCTCAAACCTAAGTGAATCCATCATACTATCATGTTATACAGAGTTCTTTCTGACTAAGAGAGATCATCTTATCATGAAAGAGAACAAGGGAGAATCTACCTGCAATAAACACTTGGGATTCACTGCAACCCCATCTGCGGCTCTGTCAACTTTGAACCAATCAACTGCTATTAACTGGAGAAGGGGATCTCCACCCACCACCTGAATGTATTATTACAACTAGAGTAAGCATTAAAAAAGAAAACTACTTGCCAAGCATCAGACTTGTGCAGCAGCACCATCAATGGTCCTGATAATGTGGGTATCCTATATACCAAGTTTCAGGACTGAGTCTAAACACTAACCTTAGAGTTATCCTTTAGATACGTTTTCCCTCTGATCTTAAATCCTGATCCATTCGGAGAAGTCCAACAGTTGGAATCTTTTTCATCCTTTCCTTTGTGAAGAGAACCCTTGAATTCACTTGGTTCAATAATGACCGGAGGTACATTAAGATCTAAAGTTTCCTCCGCACCTGGAGCTGTATTCAAAATAGATATCATTAATAAAATTGCATAGAAAAGCAGACAAAAAACCAACGATTAGCTCCATTTTATGCAGCCTTGTGGACTCTTCACATACAACAGAAACTAGAAAAATAATATATGCCACGATTGTCATTTAACCCTCCCTTAATGCTAGACTGAAATTAGTCAACTTGAAAAGGTCTGTCATCTTAGGAAAAGCAAAGCAAGCTTCCATAAGGTGGGATAAGATAAGATACGATCAAGTAAATAAACTTTCTGAGACCACAAGATAATTTTTCAGAAAACACTTCAGAAAATTGAGTGAAAGGTTCCACAAAGAATATACCTGAATTTCTCTTCAAAGCTAAGCTTGCAATAGCCCATGAAACATTTTTCAGTTTCACCCTCCCATCCTGTTCAAAAAACGACCATAATAAGGACTAGAAGTCAATTGGTTTTATATTTGGGCCTACAACCCTTCAACAACAATACTGAATGGAAGTATAGAGTAAGCATGAAGAGTAAACCTTTTTCGAGTGTGAATTTTTGCTACTGCCTTCCTCTTCATCTGACGACGATGATGATTCTCCAGCAATAGCATCATAAAATTCATCATTGACTTCTGCATCATCATAGTCAATGGGACTCATGGAGGCATCAGAAAATTTTGAACGAACAACAGTTGTAGAAGATTCCACTCTCAACGCAGGACTTGCTCCTACATATTCTTTCAAACCTGATAAAAAATTATTTGGAAAAGTTACTACCAGTGAAACTTGTTGCAAATAAGTTCATAAACTGGTTGCGGCATTTACTTTCATGATAAGTAGATAACTTCTAATTTGGAATATCAAGCAGCTTACTGATTAACACTAATAACAGTACAACTGACACAATAAAGGAGAGTTTACCAAGTACTTGTTGGCCTTACGTAGTGTGTCAACAACAATAGGAAACATGAAAGGAACAACTAATATTTGCAAGGAAATTACTCCAAGAGATATCGTTAACGGCAGGAAAATCGACAAGGAGTCCACACCAATGTCACTTAACTGGTAAAGTCATAGTTAATTCTGAGGAAAACTTCCCAAAATTGATGATCACAACAGCAAAGCACTTCTACTGATAACATAAGAATAGTTTTGAGATGTGGGCTCAGAGACCAAACAAGTTGCATTGTTGGCTGGAAATCCAAACATGGCCATATCCCCCAATAAATTCAATTGAAAACATGTTCGAGATACAAGCTTTTTTAAACAAGGTTGAAGGGAAAGAAACAAGGTAACCAACCTGCCACCTGACTCAACAAGGCATAAGGAATAGTTTTTTCAAACTTGGCGCAGCTGTTTTGTTTCCATTTACACCAGCCAGCTTGATTTATCTCTAACATTTGGCTCACGATGCATCTTGCTGTGGCAGAACCCATTGGCGCACTCAGATTTCTTATCTCCCAAGTTGAAGCTAAAAAGTGGCATCCAACATAGGAAAAGGAAAGAAAGCTAATCAATGAAAAGGTATTTGGATTAATTTTATCAATGATAAGCAGATCATCAGACTCCATGGGATTAAACTGTGAACAAGAATCAACAAGCTGGAAAGGAGAAGACAAAAAGCAAGCAATTCGCTGTATAAGCATGGTTGAACATGTGTGCATAATAAACTTTGGAACCAAAAATCAATTCGCCAGGTTTACAACATGATAATATGTTTCTCATGCTACAACTTCAAAAACTTCATAATACGAAGTGAATTTCTAGGTAAATATGGCATCTAAAATCCTTGTATCTGCCCAATCTTGGGTCATTATGGATTGTGGTTGTTAACAATAAATAATAAGCGGAAGTGCTCATTGGAATATTAAGAGTCTACTTAGAAAATAAGCTTCTTACGGTTTATTTTTGTCCGTCGATATCCAGAACTAGGGGGTCGCTTCTTATGTACAGCAGGAAATTGCAGGATTGCTGCAAGAAAGCAATACCAAACAAAAGCCAACCAGTTAGATTAGACATACTCACATGACATCACTGGCCAAAGACTGATTGCCAGAAAGGAACATGGGTAATATCAAATATTTTCTTACTGTATGCCCCATCTTGTCCACGGAACCACTGCCTAGAGAAGACAAAATCTCTGTTGGATTTCCACCTGTAAAGCACAGATAAAAGTGGAATTAGCTTTCCGAAAGCTGTGAATTTTTTAGTACTACATAAAGCTGATAGATTTCAAACATAGTTTTGTGCGATGTTTCAAGCAAAGGAGCCTAAACAGGGACCAAGACAGCAAACTAACCAAAGCAACAACATTACTAAGAGACTAATGGCAGTGGCAGCATAATCATTGCTCAGAAAGTGATTCCAAGATTGATGTCCAAGACCAGAAGATGATAAAGACAGGTGGTTGAGAATGCTTGGGATCCAAAAACAAACACAAAAACAATGAAGCAGAAGAAGATAAAATAATTGATACCTAAAAATGTAATCTACTTGATGAAACTGTAGCTTAAGAAGAAAGTGTATGATACCCTGCCAGTCAAATTACCGTGTAAGATACTTCGGATCGTATGTGCCATACAGAACATCATAATGTCCATCATAGGAATCTAAGAGCTCCAAGTCCCCTGTCAACGTGTCCCATCTGTAAAGAATTATTAGAGACTTCTGAACTCTATAACCAAAATCTCTGGAATACAGATCAACGAACTTACTCATATCTTTGTTGTTGATCAAGGTTTATGAATACATCAAAAACAGTATCAGCACTTGCATCAACAACACCAACCGCTTTTATGAGGGTACCTTTATCACTCTAGTAAAGAAATACAATATGGTTAATAACAAAACCAAAGAATGTTCACTCGTTGATAAGGGAAAAAATGTTTCACTCAGTTTCATGGAAACTTTCAAACTTTCACTCAATTTCTCCAAGTCTTGTACAATCATCGTGTCTTCTCAGAAAGTACAAGTACATTACAACAGAAACCTAGGAGTCTATATAATGCAAGGACAAATACCTTGGGATTAGACACATCCTCAAAAATTCGAACACCTGAAACAAAAGTGAAGACGAGTAATCAATATCCACTCTCGATATGCTACGCAGACTCAAGGAAAACACCAGAATTATTTGGATCACTTAGATGCATAGAAAGCAGAGAAACACCATTTACAGTGCGAACACATCTCCACTGGTGTACTTCAATAACATCTTCACTCTCAGCTTCAAAAAATCCATCTGACTTGACATTGCCAACCAAATTTGAGGCCTGTCGCAACAATGTTTCCGGACCTTCAATAAAAAATCACAATGTTTCTGGAACTTCAATAGTCGTGAGAAAGAAATTGAAATTCAATTTTTATTCTTACTGTTATGGATGGTGGTACTATTCAAGCAAAACATTAGTTTCTCTCATCATCAGTCGACTCAGACTCTTTAACCATATGACACGAAGAAATATTTTCCTTTTTTGGTAATATAAAGTGCTCAACCAATTTTATCATCTGAATACAGAATTTCATAGAAATATAAATTCTAGTTGTTATGAAATCCAGATTTTTCCCATCTCATTTAACTTTCAGGAAACACCATCAGTTTGTGGATTGTCCCTTCTCCAACTGCTCAATGTGGTTATTACAACCTTCAGATAAAGCTTTTCTTGCTTTAACTCCTCTCACTTTAGTTGTTACTCAACAGCAAGAAGACAAGAGGCATGACTCCTTACCTTGCCCTATCCTGATAAGCCTTTTTAATCCATGTGCATAACGCCTCATTTTGGGTCGATGGGCTTCTAGATCGATCCTTGCACAACAAGAGAATTAACAAGTTCAGAAAACGATAATTTGTCCAGTTCTTAATAGTTGTGGAAGAAAACAATTGTAACTCATAGTTGCCTATGTAAGAAAGCAAATGTGCACAAGACTAGTGCGTTAGTGCTTGAGACAGTTATCTTACTCATTTTCAATGCTTAGCCTGTTTCTTGGACTCCGACCAGTTGAAAGCTCAATTTCAGCCTGTCAGAAAAACATTTGATATAGGATTAGCACGAAAATGATTTCCTTTCAAAATAGAAGATGAAAAAAGGAAAAGGCCGCATAAATATAGCAATCAAATGTTCCAAGAAGACCCTGAAACAGGCTGCAAATGATCAGTATTATTTATACATTCCCAGTAAGGTCCTTGTACCTGTTGCTTTGCATGATCAAATGCCTCCATCCATTTTCGAGCTTCTCCAGCCGTAGCACAAGCAATCTTTAATAAAAACAAGGAGTTAGTCATAAGTTACTTTTAGTATACGAAACCGGAAAAACTCAAGAAAGTTAGCTACATGAATGAAGATCTACGACTTTGTGAACAGATTAGGTTTTTATATGAATGATTCAAAATTACTGTTGGGGCTGAGGTTCCAAAACTGAAGGAGCTGGAATAAATGGGTACAAACATCATCACTCATTCTAACGAGCAGCCTTAAGCCTTCTCCCGTATGACATTTTTTTGCCTAAACGTATCCATCATTGATAACAAACCGGTGACTCATTCCTTGTGATAGTAATTAGCAAAACCAATAACAGATCTACAACTTACTTCTCCTTTCTTTGTCTCGTCCAGTCGGCTGTAGAAGCGTATGACATAAACATCCTACAAAAGAAATAGGGAATAATAGAAGAGAAACCAAGGTCAAGACACCATTGGGTTCCAAGTAAACAAAACTGGAACTAGAAAGAAAAATCTGCATTCACCAAAATCTAATACAGCTATATTATAGAGGCATACCCCTTGATTGACCTTCCGACGCCCTAGCTCCTCGACCATAAGAGTGGGCCCTACGACACCCCTTCGAATGGGCTTCTGCACAAGCAAAAAGATTTAACATCAGAAGTGAGCACCAACCTATGCCCACATCCACTGCTTAGACAAGTACTAAGGATGACTAGCTTGGTAAAGTCCATATATTGTACACCACAGAGGTAATAGCAGAAATGCGTTCCTGGTAGAATATCAGTTTAACCAACTGACATAAAATGTGCACAAGCCACCACCATTTGACATATATCAAACTACCCACTTCAGGGTAGAAATATCATGTGATCAGAGTGAAACTTTCAAATTGATAAAAGATAGATTAAAGTCATCAACAAACTCAATACTATCAAAGATGTTACTGATGTGATCATCAGTTCAGTACTTTCCAGTTTCCTCCAAGTACATTGTAGAAATACGCACCTCCCTTTCCTGTTAAAGTTTGGTTAATACGTAATACCATGGTAGAAACCAGAATGCACACCAACATTTTTAAGGTTAGATTGTCAAAGTTGTCAACAAACTCAACACTATCAAGCAACCTAAGTCATCAATGTAATCACCAGGTCAATACTTTATCCAATAACATTAGAGGATAAGCCATCTCTTCTTCCCATTCCAACTTTGGTAATACCCAATGACAGGGTAAACCAAATAAGCACGCCAACACATTTTAGCTTATGAACAGAGCATCTAGACTTGATCACTTCTCTACAACTAATTGAAGGTCAAACAAACCGGACCACCTAGAGTCCAGAAGGAGTTCTTTGCTGCCCCCCCTCCCCCCCAGGCCCCTAGGCAAATGAATTTTGCACTTGTAAGCTAAATTTGGTACCAGCATTTCCTCCAGGTGCCATAGATCATTTGCTAACTTAAGCCAATTAGAAAGAAGGCAGAAACCTTGTCCTTCCAACCTCCAGTTTGGCATATTAGAACAGATAAAACAAATTCCCCACTTGTTCACAAAAGACTAATCAAAACCCAGAATATTGCTGCCCAGCAAACGGGGCCAAGCTTCCGAATAAACAAAACAACTCGCAAGCAGGAAAAGAAAACAATAAACAACAAACAGGGGAAAGAGAGATGGAAAGCTAGATAGATAACGTACAATGCCGGGGCTCTCGTGAGGATCGCGCTTGTACATCTCGACATACTTCCCTCTGATGAACAAGAATCGCAAATGGCAGTACTCGTGCCCAATCGAATTCGTCCCCAAATGATAAATCCATCCGAAATACTCGAACGCTCCCCCTTTCTCCTTATCTTCACCCGCCCGCCTCCCGCTGCTCCCGCTGCCGCTGCTGCTGCTATCCAACAGCTCCTTCTCCGACCCCACGCTCCCACCAACCTTCCTCACCGTCACCTCCGTCTGCGTTATCCCCTCAGCCTCCATTTTCCTCCTCCCTCCTCGCAATTTCCTCTTTCCTCTTCCTCCTCGCAATCTTGATCCCTCCCTTACTCGTTTCAGAAGCTCGATCTTCCCAAAATCATAGCTAGGGTTGCGAAATTTCCTCGCGATCGGATTCCGCGTTCTCTCCCCTCTTCCTCGAACATCAATGGAGAGAGAGAGGGAGAGATGGAGAAGAGAGAGAGAGAGATAGAATATGACAGAGTGGCGTTGGGCGGCAATTATTGGTGGGAGTTTTGTTTCCCGCCTTTGATCGGCTCTCGATATTGTCAGGCTGGCTCCCTCTGCTTCCGACAGGTGGCGGTGGCGCGTGGCAGCCGACGATTTAGGGAGGGAAATGCTCGGAGTTCGAGGCAAGGGTGTCGGCTTGGTTTTTATCTACATGGGTCCTTTTGACAAGAAAGAAAATATCTGGTGGGTCCGGCCGGGTTTATTGGTAACCGGTGAGTGGTCGGTTTTCATTTGGGTAGTGGGCGGCCCACTGTATTGAAGGGGTTGATTAACGACTTTAACTGTGGGAGTTTCTTGCCGACATGGTTTTAATTGGGCGATGATGACAATTTAGCTGGTAATTGAGCAGATTCTCTCCCCGTAATTAAGCATCTCTTCTCATGCAAAAATGCTAACAAAATTATGTTCAGAGAAAAAAAGGAAAAGATGGGCTTAACGTGCTCAAACCAAGGGCCAAATATTAAGGGCTGGGCTTGTTTTCGAGCCTTGTTCTGGACATGAATTGAGTTAAGGCCAATACTATGGTGACACAGTTAAAATTGCGACACCGGTGCTGCCGCCTCTGATTGGTCCACGCGAGCAATGACATGGCATTGGTTGTGTTATTCAATCCAAGCCCAATCCGATAGCCCATGAACCGGCCGAAGTTGTTGTTGGCCGAAGAGACGGAGATTTTTGTTTTCGTCTTCCATCTCTCTGGATCCGTTTATCGGTTTAATGTTTCTTTCCCCACTAATTAATTTAGAATTCGTGTGAATTTTGTTTTATAGTAGAGAGGGAAAAAAAAGAAAAAAAGAAAATGGGAATCCGGATTTCAAAGTGGTCTTCCTCTGTCTCCAGCTCCGGTGACTGAAAACAATAGAGTTCCATCTCTTTGCCTCCGATTCACTCTCCCATCTCCTCCACGTTCACCGTAGTCCTTCTGTATTCTGCAAAAACAAATACGAACAATCCCTCGTCTTGACTGGACATCGGCTTCATCGAACTGCAATGCCGTCACCGTATCAACAAAGAAAAAGGCAATCGCCTCCCTCTGCGTCGCCCCCACTCAACACTCTCACTGTACGTTGGAATTATGGAAACTGAATTTGAGTTATTCATCAGCACAGTGACCACTCTCTAACAAAGACTACATCAGGACATTGAAGAGGCATGGGATTAGCCACGTTCCGGCAAGTAGAAGCTTTGCAGGCTTTTCATCACCATTATCCTAAGCTGACTTTTAATTCTTTGGAAAGTTAAGGACTTTTGACGGTACTCTCACCTATCAACACCAACTTGACAACAATGCTTGTAACTTTTAAACCCAGCAAATGGTTTTATATCGAAAGCTTCTTTATTGTGAGACTGATTGTTGTATTGGGGATAATCTTGCGTTTTTTAAGGCTAGCTCATTATGCAAAATCCTGCCAAGAAATGCTGATGGAACTGTGTCATTGGAAATTTTATTGAAAGCTTCTATAAGACTGACCCTTCGAGAGTGCTCACCGGAAAATTATTCAAGAAGCTGATTATAAGTAAAGTTTGGTGAAAGCACTCCCTACCATTAAGAAGAAGAAAGGATTGACCCGGTTTCTGGTTTCACAAGTCTAACCTGGAGAACCAGTCCTTAAATCGCTGCTTGAAGAAGCACGCTTCGACACCGTTTTCCCTTTCACGGTGTCGTTCCACTTACCACCATTCACACCACACTTAGCCCCTGATACTTAGACAGTTGTACAGCTTCCATTGGTCCATTTTAATTGTTAGTTTGTTTTTACTGTTTAATAGTCGTAGGTAGTTAATTACAGTAGATAGGGTTTCCTCTTTGCAGCCTATATAAGCTGCTTGTAAATGTTCTCTCATTTATCAATGAAACTACAAGTTTCTCCAAACCCTATTCTTATGGTATCAGAGCTCTGAAGCTCCTTCTCTCTTAGGGTTCCATTATGTACACTTCTTCTGGACAAATGTCTACTGTGGTTTCTTCTAACACAGCAGACCAGTTGGTTCCTCAGTCCATTGTGCCGATCAAGTTCAATTGGAGGAACTATAATCTTTGGTGTAGATCTGTGAGAATCGCCCTCAAGACAAGGAAGAGGCTTGGCTATATTGATGGAACTAAGACTCAACCAGAAGCAACAGATCCAACCTTTGAAGAATGGGATGCAAACAACACTCAGGTACTAGGCTGGCTGCTGAACTCTCTTGATGAATCTACTGCTGAGAGTGTTCCTATTACTGAAAATGCTCATGAGATTTGGGAAGATCTGACAATGAGATATGGCCAGGCAGATGCAGTTAGGCTTGTAGATCTACAAACACAGATCTATTCTTGTAAGCAAGTAACTTCTAATGTGAATGAGTTCTTTACTAGGTTGAAGACCTATTGGGAAGAATATGTTCAGTATAGGACAGTTATCTCTGCCCCCTGTCCTGATCCAAACTGTCCTGCTTCAGTAGCCTTAGAAACCCTAAGGGGGTTCACTCGTGATGATTATGTTATGAGATTTATCACTGGCTTGAATGAAAACTATGAGGGGGTTCGTACAAATTTGTTAATGATGAAGCCTATACCAAGCATAGGAGCTGCCTTTAGTTATGTTTTACAACATGAAAGACAGCTTGATCCACAAGCAGTGGGATCTAAGAAAGAAGAAGGTGTGGCCTTAGCTGTGGATGGTAATAGAGACAGAGATACAAGAAAAGGTCAACAACAAACCTCAGGCCTGTTCTGCAGATATTGCAAGAAAGATAATCATGTTAAGGAAGACTGCTGGAAACTTAAAGCTAAGAACAGGAAAATGATGGAGGCAGGACATAACTTTGCTGGTTCTGTGAGCACTCTTGGAAACAGTGCTGGTGGAGATAATTCCTCCTTCAGAGGACAGTCTGAAGAGGAGAATCAAGGCTTCAGAAACTTAAAGCTCAACACTGATGATTACAATAGAATCATGAACCTGCTTCAGCAATCTCCACCAACTTCACCAAGTGGATCTAGACCAGACTCACCTGGAGTAATGCCTAAAGCTAATGCTGTTGTCAGAAACTTACCAAGTTTCCCAAACTTTGCAGGCAAGTTTACCCTTTCTGCATATACCAAATCAAATCTGGTTGGTTTGAGTGATGTATGGATCATAGATACAGGAGCTACTGACCATATATCTTGCAATTTGTCATGTTTTTTGGCTTATAAAGTGATTAAGGATGCTTTTATCACCCTGCCTAATGGTCAAAAGGCAGAGGCTACCCATATAGGGATAGTGCAGCTACCATGTGGTTTAATCCTTCATCAAGTCCTCTATGTCCCATCCTTCTCCTTCAATTTACTCTCAGTTAGTAAACTAACCAAAACACTTCCCATCTCACTTACCTTCAAATCATCCTTCTGTGAAATTCAGGACCTTCTTACCAGGAGGAGGATTGGCTTGGCCCATCAAGTTAGAGGTCTCTACCAAATGTCTCGATGTTCTCATTTTGTTCCAGTGCCTGCTGTTAAAGGAAAGTCATCCATTATAGCAGCAACTTACAATTTCTCACAACAGAACCTGAACTTGTGGCACTCAAGGCTAGGGCATCCATCCTCATTGAGACAAAATGTAATTAAGAAAAGTAGTAATGTAGTAGAGAAATCTGTATTAGATCATTGTGAAACTTGTCACTTTGCTAAGCAGAAGAAACTACCTTTCACTTTGAGTAATTCTGTAGCTGCCTCACCTTTTGACTTGATCCATGTAGACATTTAGGGGCCTCACTCAGTTATGAGTTACAATGGATTTAGATATTTTCTAACTATTGTAGATGATTGCAGTAGAAGTTTATGGGTTTTTCTGATGAAAGCTAAGTCAGAAGCAAGAAATTTGCTGCAAAATTTCTGTGTCATGGTGAATGTGCACTTTAGTCAGAAAATCAAAACTATCAGGTCAGATCAGGGACTTGAGTTCCACATGCCTGACTTCTATTCTCAACATGGGATTTCCCATCAAATGTCTTGTGTTGAGGTCCCACAGCAAAATGGAAGAGTAGAGAGAAAGCATCAGGACATATTGAATATAGCCAGGGCTTTAAGATTCCAGTCTGGTTTGCCTCTTTCTTTTTGGGCAGATTGTGTATTGCATGCTGTGTTCCTTATCAACAGATTACCTTCAGCATTGTTGAATGACATTACACCTTTTGAAAGGTTATATGGCAAACCTCCTGATTACAGCTTCTTGAGAGTTTTTGGATGCCTTTGTTATGCTGGAACTTTATCTCAGGGCAGAAAGAAATTTGACAGCAGAGCTAGACAGTGTCTGTTTTTGGGATTCACCCCAGGGATTAAAGGATACAAGTTACTTGACTTGTCTTCCCATGCAGTGTTTGTGTCAAGAGATGTGAAGTTCTATGAACAAATTCTTCCTTACAAAAGAGACCCTTCTCCACAACCTGCTACCTCTACCCATATACCTTCTCACCCCATTTCTTTTGATCCTTTTCCTGATACCACCACACCAACTCCTCCTCCACCATCACCACCTCCACCAACTTCATTCTCTCCATCTCCTCAATCTCCTTCCCTTCCTCTGATTGAGGATATGAGGGAGGGATCAATTCATGATGATTCTACTTCTGAGGGAGAAGCTGAAGCATTACCTTCTGATCCACCTGAACCCTCTTTACCTGAACCTTCTCTAAGAAGATCAGATCGACAATCTAAACCACCATCATACCTTGTTCAGAATTACAAAACACAAATTCCTAACCTTAAACCCACCAATACCAGTCCACACTCACTAGCCACCTTAGCCAGTTTTATCTCTGATCAAAACCTTACACCAGAATTTCAAGCCTATGCTCTCAGTGTTCTTAGCATGTCAGAACCAGACTCTTACAGAGAAGCTATTCAACATGAGCATTGGAGAAAGGCCATTATAGAAGAACTGAAGGCACTGCAAGCTAATGGAACCTGGGAGATTGTTAACTTACCACCTGGCAGAAAGGCAGTGGGATGTCGTTGGGTTTTCAAGATTAAGCTAAATCCAGATGGTAGTATAGAAAGATACAAAGCATGTTTAGTTGCAAAAGGTTTTACTCAAATTCCTGGTATAGATTTCTTGGACACTTATTCTCCAGTGGCCAAGATTAATACAGTTAAGACTTTATTGTCTGTTGCAGCAGTTAAGAACTGGCATCTACATCAAATGGATGTCAGTAATGCATTTCTTCATGGAGATTTGGATGAATTGATATACATGGAAGTTCCTTCAGGTTTAACATTACAGAATTATGAGCACAAACAAGTTTGTTTGCTCAAGAAATCATTATATGGACTTAAGCAGGCTAGCAGACAATGGTTTGCAAAGCTAACTGCTGCTTTGATGAAGTTTGGTTTCAAGCAGTCTCAAGCAGACTATTCCATGTTCACAATGATAAGGGTGAAGTGACTGTTATACTCCTAGTCTATGTTGATGATATTATAGTTGCAGGAAATGATTTGTCAGAGATTGTCAAAATAAAAGGTTTCCTTGCAAGGGAGTTCAAGATCAAAGATTTGGGAAAACTAAGATACTTCTTAGGTTTGGAGATTGCAAGAAATTCAAGAGGGATCTTTGTTTGTCAGAGGAAATATTGTCTGGATATGTTGAAGGATGTTGGATTTCTGAGCTGTAAACCAGTGTTAACTCCTATAGAACTCAAGACCAGATTGTCTGCTACAGCAGGTAACCCACTTCCAGACTCAACACCTTATAGAAGATTGGTTGGTAAATTACAGTATCTTACTACAACAAGACCAGACATCACTTATGTGGTACAACAGCTGTGTCAGTATCAAAAGGAACCCACAGATCAACATATGCAGGTTGTGCACCATGTTTTCAGGTATCTCAAAAGCAAACCAACACAAGGTCTGGTGTTCAAAAGCAATTCTTCATTGCAACTAAAAGGGTATTCAGATGTAGATTGGGCAGCTTGCCCAGATACAAGGAAATCACTCACAGGTTATTGCACTTTTCTTGGAGACTCACTCATTACATGGAGAACTAAGAAACAACAAACTGTATCCAGGTCCTCTTCTGAGGCAGAGTACAGGTCACTTGCAATGCTTTCATGTGAGATGGTATGGCTGAAGCAGCTGTTATTGGAAATGGGGATAGATCATACATCACCAACAGCTTTGTTTTGTGACAATCAATCTGCAATCCACATTGCACACAATCCAGTGTTTCATGAAAGGACAAAACACATTGAAGTGGATTGTCACCTGATTCGTCAGCACATTTTGGATAAAATTGTTACAGTCACTCACGTCAGATCTGAGCTTCAACTTGCAGACACTTTTACCAAGGCGTTGAGTCGACATCGCCTCCACTTTCTTCTTAACAAGCTTGGAGTAGCAGATATCTATGCTCCTCAGCTTGAGGGAGGGTAAGAAGAAGAAAGGGTTGACCCGGTTTCTGGATTCACAGGTCTAACCTGGAGAACCAGTCCTTAAATCGCTGCTTGAAGAAGCACGCTTCGACACCGTTTTCCCTTTCACGGTGTCGTTCCACTTACCACCATTCACACCACACTTAGCCGCTGATACTTAGACAGTTGTACAGCTTCCATTGGTCCATTTTAATTGTTAGTTTGTTTTTACTGTTTAATAGCCGTTGGTAGTTAATTACAGTAGATAGGGTTTCCTCTTTGCAGCCTATATAAGCTGCTTGTAAATGTTCTCTCATTTATCAATGAAACTACAAGTTTCTCCAAACCCTATTCTTAACCATTATGTTTAATCTCAGCCTGCAATTACCACTGAGTCATTTACACTTTCAGAAAAGCAAATTCAACAAAAGTTGGAACAATTACAATAAGAACGTACAACTCTACAACCTCAAATTCTCCAGCTTATGGGAATCCACAAATGGTACTCATCTTCTATTTACTCATCAGTCTTATTATGCATAAAACGTCAAGGTTACTCTTCTCATGGCAGCACTACAGACCCTATATTGAGATGAATCCATCAACTCTAAAATGATCATATAACTATTTCAGGACTTGTATACTTTGACTGCACTATCGTCTTCCTTAAGCCTTCAGACCTCATGCTTTTCATGTTGTAATCATATGACAGTTTCATCAAATCTGGATTAGTCATCATCTGCAAAATACATGATAAGTGAACACCAATTGGTACTGAAAAAAGTACACAAACTGGCAACCCATAAGAATGATATATGTTACACAACACAAATCCGAGATTGCCAGAGTGAATTACAGTTAAAGTGTCCAGGTTCTGACAAGAAGAAGGATAAGAAGCTATAATTCTTGACTAAAAAGAACTACTTCAAGAGCCGGAGTCAGGTAAGAGTAGAGCTCTGGAGCAGTGACGAGGTATGAATTAACCCATTTATGCTGGTGGTGAGGAATGTCGCGAGGATCATGGCAATGAACTTCAATAGAGTTCTGGGATACCGTGAACAACACAATGAACCTTGGACTCGTTATGGGCTTATGGCAATGCCTGCAATCAAATATCTCATCTCAGCAGGGTGCCTGATCTTGTATCTTCTCTTGTAGTGCGAAGGTAAACAAGAACAAAAGAAACAGAGGAGTAGACAATTATCGAAGTCAATTAAATGTTCGACCAAAAACATTATACTCGGAGATGTTTCATTTCGAACCCACCCTCCTCCATTTCTTGTGTCCTCTTTTCAGCTGCGCACCAGAAATTTCCCAGGAACAGAGCAGATAAATTAAGGGAAAATCTCAAACGATCCCTAAAGATACGTGGCCCCCCTCCGACGACTGAAAGAACTGATCAAATTGAAAAGCGAATTACCAACAACAGCTGCCAACCATTCAGATCAGGGCATGGTTGCCGCCACCGCCACCGCCGACTACCTTCATCTAACCCATTGTCAACAGAGCTGTAAGTGGTTCCGCCTACTTGTATAAGCACAACACAGCCCCTAATATCGCAGGGAATTGAGGAAGACGATTCGGTGGAGGCTGATGGAAGAGACGGGAAATTGGATTAGCGACGGAAAAGTCGTCGGAGTGCGAGACAGAAGATGATGTTTGATCGGGGTTTCGTTTTGTGTTGTTTTAGGTACTGGAGAAAAGCAACCCAAGAGAAAATTCAAATTTAAAAACGAATTACTAGAAGAGAAGACGGGACTCAAGGAAGAAAGGACCGTCTGATTGGGTGAATAATGGATTTGGGCCATCAAGTTTCGTCCATATTTATTAAACCGAACCAGTGCCACATCAGCTCCATGTGTTCCAATCAAAAAGAGCGTCACCGGTGCTGCATTTTTTACAGCGGCACCATAGCATTTAGGGCCGGCAAAACGGTTTTTGGTTATTAGTTAACCGGTCGGTTACGACCGAACCGAGCGGTTTTCGGCTAACCCAAAACCGCTCTGTATTGGCATCGGTCGGTATCCGGGGGAGAAGGGGAGAGGCTCGTCTAGCCGATTAACCGCGGTCAGTAACCGGCGGTTAACCGGCTAACCGACCACTGCCCCTTGAGTCAAAACGACCCCGCAGCCCTACCCAAAACGACCCCTTCCCCCAACCAGCCTGCCCCAAAACGACCCCTTCCCCCAACCCCAAAATGACCCCTCTCCTCTCCAACCCTAATCGCCACAACCTCCTTCAACCTCATCTCCACTTCTTCTTCCTCACAAAGAACTCCCCAGCCCTAAAACAACCTCATCTCCTCCTTCAACCTGCTTCAATCCACCCATCCCTCCTCTTCCCTTCGGCCTCCCAAAATGCCTCCTCCGCTCTCCTGTTCCTATCTCCAATGCCACCTTCCTTTTGCTCACCTCCTCGTTCCCCGTCGCTCCCACCGTCGCCGTGAAACCCTGCCAGTGGAACCCTCCATTGCACCGGCCACCCTCGCGAGTCGCGACACTCGGCGGCGCAGCGCAGCAGTCTGCCAGTCTCCATCTCCTGTCGTCGCCGCCCGCCGCCTCCAACCGCCGTCGCGAGTGTCTCCCGTCATCTCCCTCCGCCGCGAGTCGTCTCCTGCAGTGCTTTTCTTCATCGGGAAACCAAACTTTGGTGGGTGTGAATTGTGAAATGGTGGGGAAGGAAGGAGAGAGAAGAGAAGTGGTCTCGTGGAGGAAGGAAGGAGAGAGGAGAAGATAAGGATTGAGATTGAGTGGTGCAGTTTTTTTTTTTAATTTTTTTTGTAAAAAGGTAGTTTTCCAGTTGGCCGACTAACCGAGCCTAAAACCGAAACCGATCGGTCGGTTGGCCGGCTAACCGTGACCTCTCTCACGGTCGGTGGTCGGCAGCTATAAGGGTGGCTCGGTTTAACCGATAACCGGGTTTTCGGTTTTTGGTTAAACCGAAACCGACCGACTGCCACCCATAGTAGCATTAGCCTTGAGTTAAACCAAATCGATTGTTGTCCCATCCAATGCATTACTCGAGCCCAACTTAACTGGGGTGCTCTGTCTAGCAAATCACAAGCTTCATCTCTTGACAAGAGTTAGAGTGCTAAATTGCTAATTAGGGATGGCAATTATAGCCGTAACCGTGAGTATCCTACCTTACCCAACCCGGTCAACGAGGGGAATCCCCGCATTGACTGGGTATGGGGTGGATATGAGTAATACGCGCAAAGAATTTTGTGGGGATGGGGCGGTGATGGATTTGAGTGCCCCGCCCCATACCCATACCCATATCCGCCCCGTCATTACTTATGTCTTATAATTGTAAAATATAACTTTGTGTAATCTAAAAAAGGACTTAAGGGTTATTGTAAAACAAAATAAGGACTAAAGATTAATTTCACATAGTTAAACCAACCCTAATTTCTTAACAGGCTAACAAGTTTCTAACCCTACTTTGGAGGACAACTTGACTTTTATGTGTGGATTTTATTGTTTAGTAGGTGTTTTGGAGATGAATAATTTGTTGTTGGATTATTTATTGGTACTTTGTTTATGGAACTTCGTAGGAATTGGATGATCTAATTAAAATTTTCAGTGGTTCTTTATTAGGCTCATCATTGATTAGGTTTGATGTTTCAACCCAATAGTTATATGTTTTGTTGAATTCAAGTGTGTTAATTTAGTGATAATCATAATCAGATGTACGGGGCGGGGATTACCCTCGGGTATCCGAAACCCGCGGGGATGGGGATGCAAAATCTTCCCTGCATGAGGATGGGGAGGATATGGATTTGATAATTGAAAATGGGTACGAGGATGGGTTTAGTACATCCTTCCCAAACCCGACCCATTGTCATCCCTATTGCTAATGCTATATGGTTAGTCTATGCAATCCAAATTTATTTAATTGCTGCTCATTACTTTTAAGTTGAATTTAATGGTGGAGAGTTGTGAAGGTATGATTAGATATTTCATTATCATTACAAAATTTATATTTTGGTACCTAATTTTTTTACAATGATATTTTAGTATATAAACTTTTTCAAAATTAACACAAAGGTTTAAGATTTGGATGCTACTTGAATTGATTAATTCAATCCATAAAACTACTAGTCCAATCCATTTACCACCTTTATATACAATCATACTACAAAATATTTGATAAGGAAGAATAATGCAACTCAAATTGAATTTTAAGCATTTGCAAAATCATCCTTGTCTAGACATGAGGTTCCCACACTCTGTACTTGGCTGGCACAGGGAGATGGTCCACTGCAAAGTAATAGCAACTAGTTATGGTAACCGTGACACAGTAAAACCATACTTGTCGCCAGTATGAATTTATGTAGAGGACACTTGCAATTATCAACAACGCCATAACGAAAGACACTCCACTACTTACATAAAAGCTCTCCATATCAACGAAGTTGTTGCCTCCATCATCCTCTTCATCTTTGTAAGTAAGGGGTTTTATGGGTTTCGTTAAGGGTATTGGATAAGTACAACATAGAGAAGGGTTCCCCCGATAGCTACTCTCATCAAATGTACCGAACTGTGCAATCTTTTTAGGGCATTTTCCAGAAAAATTGTTGTATGCCACGCTGAATGACTCCAAGGAAGTAAGCTCAACGAGTTGAGGAGGAATCATCCCAATTAAATTGTTGTGAGAAAGATCCAAACTCTCAATCTGCAACATGCTTGAAAATGTGTCTGGAATCTTTCCCGTCAACTTGTTGTGTGATAAATTGAGCATTTTAATTTGGTTGAGATTGCTGATTTTAGAAGGAATCTCTCCACTGAAGTTATTGCTCGAGAAATCCAGGCCAGACATTAATGTGAGAATCCTCCCATTGTAAGTATACACGTTCGTCTTGGTAATGAATTCCAAACTTCCAAAAAGAGACACATCCTTCATTCTCTTCTTGCAAGCATTGCCTTCAGATGTTGACATAAAGGCAAGGTGACCAGATAGATGATTGCGCGAAACAACAATCAACTTCAAACGCTCCAAGCAAAATGGAGTCAAAACCTCACCAAGAAACTCATTGTCATTCAATAAGAGATAGGTCAACAAGGGCATTTCACCAACCCATCTTGGGATTTTGCCAGTGAAATGGTTGTGGCTAAGATCCAATACCTCCAAATTGTAATTTTCATAGTCATTGGTACTATTAGCTCTAAAAATCCCATCATGATATGATCCTTCAGTAGACAAGGGTCCTCTCAATTGGTTTCTTGACAAATAAACTTCTTGTATGTTTGAAGAAATGAAATAGGGTGGTAGACTCCCAGAAAAGTTGTTCTTTGAAAGGTCTAAGAGGAAAAGGGTAGGCATATTCCAAATGCGTTTCGGGATCTCACCAGAGAGATGATTGTCGCTGACATCCAGTAACCATAATAGATTTGACATTTGATCAGGCATTGTACCAAAAAAGTGGTTGTTATGTAGATCTAGGCTCTTTAACATGGGGAATAACACAAACATATTAGGTGGGAAGAGGCTGGGAGATAAGTCATTGCTAGAGACATCTAAAACCTCTAAATTTTCATGGGGGCGTTGGTGAGGCTGCATTGACAATTGGAAATGCCCAGAGAGTGAGCAATTACCCACATAAAGACTTTTTAAGTTGGTGTTGTTAGTCAGCAACCACAATGGAAAATCTCCCTTCATTTTGGTATTTGAAAGGGCAACAAATTCCAAGTTTGTTTGATGGTAGAGAAACTTGGGGAAGGGGCCAACGTAACCACCAAAATCATCGTACCTCGAAGAAAAGTCAAGAAATTCCAGTTGAAAAAGCAGTTCTTGTAGTAGGGCTTGAGTAACTTCTTGCTCTCTCACAGGGTTGTCTTCAGGGATCATGCTGTTTGTAGACCCGGAAAACCATACGAGATGGGAGTGGTTGAAAAGTGGAGTGAAGGAAAGTGGGATTCGAAATTGATTGTTAGAAATGTTAATGTCTTCGAGGGAGAAGAGAGACGCGATCGGGGTTCGAGAAATATCTCCTGATAAATAATTCCCTGGGATATTCAAGACTCGGAGTGACGTCAAATTTGCCAGACATTGCGGTAACTCGCCCCACAGACGAGTAGCGGTGAGGCGTAGCGTCTGAAGACGTTTTAAGTTGCATAAATCTGCAATTAATTAATACAGACGCGGATAAATCAAATGTACATAACTAAAATCTCATTTTCAATAAAAGGTGTTTAATTTTAAGTCAAGTCAATTGCGTACCTTGAGGAATGGTGCAATTGAGAGCTGAGTTATAAACTATAAAGGATGTAAGGTTTGTCATCATGGTCCCAACTGCTCTTAGAAAGTCATTGCCTACAAAGGTGTCAAAATTCCCATTTCATGAGCTTTTAGCCCCAACTTCTCCATAATTATCATGTCGAATGGGAGCTAATCATTACCTCGAGAATGCATGTGAGAGCCCAAGAACTCTAGAGATTTAAGGGAAGAAACTTTCGAAAGGCTCTTTAGGAAATCGGCACCATCTGTAGGCATTGAGAAATTGAAAAGTACTATTTCTTCCAAACCGGCCACATTAGGAATCCCTGTCATGTAAAATATTCCAGCAAATTAAATAAAATCAATAAAACAATCACTAGTTCTTCGTGAATAATTTTTTCGTTGGTTGTTGCCCCAATATTTAATTAAGTATGTAATTATTAATTAATTCATGCTTAGTTCATCACATGATGTACGTTGAGAGATAATTAACTAGTTTGTTAGTACATACCTTGATAATCAGGAAGACTGCTCGCACTTACAACAAGCCGCTTCAGGTTGGTAAATGCGGCCAAGTCTACGCATGCGGAACAGTTAACCCCGGTCATTGATACAAAACATTTGTTGTACTTATTAGTACAAAAACATAGAGGAAGTTAAAATTATGAAAAATATAGTACTTTTCCATCACGGTTAGTAAGCCCGCTAAGTTTCTTGTAAGTATTTTGTGGTGTTTGATAATTCCAATTTCATATTTTAATAATTAATTTAGAATTTTTTCTAACTTATAAATGAAGGACAATCTTAAAATCTCAAAACAAACATCATTGGTTGGAATATTGCGCATTGGATTGAAATGTTGAATGAAGTGTTCAATGACGGCATAAGAACATTGGTACCATACATTTGAAGAAAAATAAACATGACAAACACTGATACCAATTATCTCGACAGCCTATTCTAAAATAAAAACATATGTATTGTATTATGAAAAACGTATTTATTTTAACAATCTAAAAAAACAATCAAGACTTCCATATACAACCCCTTATTTTAGCATTGTAATTAATGAAACAATTTTTATCAACATGATACAATGTTCAAGCTAAGGTTCAATTATTAATCACCAGTACATAGTATTTAGCTTAGTAAACTATTTCAATATCCACAACTAACTATTAATGATTACTTGCTTTCTGTTTGAGGGTTTAATGTAACACTCTCTTGCCTACACTCTAACATTTTTTTTCTTTTTTCCAATATTTTTTGCAGTTATTTGTTAAATCAACTATGTTTCTAGCTTTCCATTCCTAATTATTCACTGCTTCCTACCAACTTATGGGAATGATGAATATTTTTTTCATGTATAATCTATTGACTATGAATGTTGCTTAATTGATTAAATTCAACGGTATCCATGTTAGGTTTGATGTCTCCAACATATTCTCAC